CTGTTGGCTGGGCACCCTTGTCCTCTGTGCCCCCGGGCTCACTGGTGTCCCACGGGAGCACTCCAGTGACCTCAGGGTCCCACGGGAGCACTCCAGTGACCTCAGCACCGCATCACTGTGCGAAAGTGGAAGTGGCTTCGTGTCCAGAGGTGTCCGTGAAGGAGGTGAACAGTGCAGTGATTTTTGTAGCCTCCGTGATCTAAACCCAGGCTACAGGTCATTCCCTGGCCTACAGCTCAAGTACTGTAGTCATCAAACGGTGGGGAAAAGTGAATGTATATATAAATGGCTGTGTTTCTTTACACGTAAAGCCATAAAATTTGTTTTAAATGTTGTTTTTCTGAAGTAAGAAATACTGCCTTCAGAGTTTTTCTTACTGATGATAAAATTGCTTTTCCTAATATATAAAAAGTATGAAATACAGAACATACTCATGTGTCTGATGGATGTTCACAGTGAGCTCCATGTCTGGCCTGGGTGGGTTGAGCCCTGCATGAGGCCCCCCAGGCCTCCAGAGCCCCAGGGCAGGCATGGCCGAGGGGCTTGGTGTGTCCGAGAACCATGGGCTCTTTGTTGGGAGATGCAGGAAACTGGGCTTTTGTCTGGGGCATAAAACAGCAGGGACTTCCAGGGAAGGCCCAGTCCCCAGGGACTCCAGTGTCCTGCTGGCTGGTTGACATGCTGATCCATTTGTCCTTGCATGTCCGCGTTGGTGTCGCAGCATGAAGCATGCCAGTTCTCTGAATGCTCTTAACGTGGGTGGCGAGGCTGCAGAAGATCATTCCCAAGTAAGGAGCCTTCCCTGTCCTGCCCTGGCCGCTCAGCGCCGAGCCGTTCTGCCCATGCGGCAGGGATGTGAGTCGGATGGCCGGCTCTGCCCACCCGCCCTTCCTGCTCTCCCTGTTGGTTGTGTGAGCCAGGGATGCTCAAGCTGCGAACACCCACGGGAGAGGGGTTAACCCAGTGATCTTGCACGTGGCTTGACCTAGTTCAAGCGATTTGTTCTGATAGAGTAATGTCAAAGCTCAACCGATTCTCACGTGAGGAATCATGATTTCAGTCTCTAACTGGTTCTTTGCCTAGTTGAGCTGTAACCCAGTCCTCTAGATGGCCAGCACCAGGTGGCACACGGCTGGTGTGCGTTTGGACACTAAGATGTCAGTGCCTGGCCGCGGTCTACATTGCAAACGCGCAGCGCACTTTGTTTCATCTTGGCGCTCGTATCTGTTGGCCTCTGTCTGCATCAGAAGTGACCTTTTCGATTTTTGTTTCTCTAGAACATCTGGTGTGGCCATCTCTTGGGGGCTTCAGAAACTGGCCCTATTGCTCAGGTCCCCAAGTAGACCTGGCAGCCCCAGTGGCCTTGACTCCCTCTGCTCAGAGCTCACCCACAGTTGCTGGTTCCCAGGCACCACACCTGGAGAGCTGGCAGCCCTTCAGTGGTCACTGACAGGGGGGCCTGGCAGCACCTGGGAGGCACTGCCCAGAGCTTCCCCAGGGCTCCAGGCAGCCACTGGAGGACACTGAGCACTCCTGGCAGTGAGACGGAGAGGTCTCAGTGCTGGGGACCACCCCACAACTGCGCACTGCTGTGGCCCAGCCCAAAGGCTGTGGTTGATGCAGACCTCTAGCCTCCAGGTCTGAGCACCGGAGCTGAAGAGCCGAGGAGTAGGCCAGGCCTGGGACCCCACGGAGCTGGCGCCATTGGGGGTGCTGGTTAAGCATGACGTTTTGTTTTCTTCATGCAGGAACGAAGTAACTGTTTGGCAGACTCGAGAGCTCTGAGTGCCAGCCACACTGACCTGTCCACTGAGGGTCGGGACAGAGCTAAATAGAATCCCCGAAACTAACGGAGCACTGAGACCCTCGCAGCCCTGGTGGTGGCCGAGCTTTCTTTCCTAGATAGTGACGGCCAACCTCAGGGGCTGCCTTTAGAAAAGAGTGGGCAGCCATGCCCCAGAATTCTGCTTCTGGCGCCCGAGAGCCACCAACATGAGAGCCGGACACGCCTGCATCTGTCTCCCTCCCTCTTGCCCTGATCCCAGGCCTCTTTTAGACTTTGATACTGTGACAAGTCTGTAATGAACCAGAGACACAGAGGACGTCCTCTCGGAAGGGAGCTCAAGGTAGTCTGTTAGAGAAACCAGTGCAGGAGAGACGGCGTGGCAGGGAGGAGGCTCGTCAGGCTCTATCTCGCGGTGTTGCCCCAGGGCCTCTGCAGGGCCAGCGTGGTGACTGACAGGGTATGGTCCCAGCCCTTGCCTGCTGGCTCCTTCAGCTAAGCACCTTGACACGTGTCTTTCATTTTTGAAAAGCTTTTGAGGGGTGGATTTTTCAGGAGAACCATTCAGATCCATCTCAAAAGCTTGCTGCTTCAGGCAGCGTGTGAGCCACAGGAGGCTGTGAACCCACGGCAGCTGGCAGGTTCAGGGTGCCGGGTGCCAGGTGTATCCCAGGCTGTGCAGCCTTTGCCGGGACGTGGGGTTTCAGTGCTCACCTCGCAGCAGCCACGGCCCTAACTTGTTTGCTTCCAGCTACCTTGAAGCATCCCTTTGCATGCTGCTGGGCGAGGGGCTGGTATGCTGGATGTGGGCTGCTGGGGCCCACGTGCTATTCTTGAGCCAAGGGCCGGAGATGACAGCAATGGGGGTTTTTGCAGCAGCTGGACTTGAGATGTCTTCATGTGCCCTGTGACTGGGTATCAGTTCTGGTTGCCAACTGTGGCTGTGGGAAGGGTGTCTGCTCCTGGCAGGCCCGCGTGTGCCCCAGGGCTCTGGCCAGCCTTCCTCCTGTACTGCCGTATGGAGGCTGCTGGCTAGGTTTGCACTGTTGCTTCTGAGGGGTCGGGAACTAGTTTTCTAAATGCTGCCTAGTGAGGTTTAGGACAGTCCATAGTGTGACAAGCTGCTCCCCACACAGCTACTCAAGAAAAAGGGAAGCTGCAGGCCCAGCTCCCTCCACTCCAGGCTGTGAGCACCCAGAGCGCAGAGCTAGGCCCCTGCGGATGCCCTGCTTCACGCCTGGCCCAGCCCAGATGGCCTTGGGCTGTCTCTGTGGGAATGCAGGTGGGGGGGCAAAACCTGTGGCACCCAAGGAGCCACACTTCAGTCACAGGGGGAGCTGCATGGGATCTGGGGCAGCAGGTAGCCTGTCTCCAGTGTGGTCCTCTGCATCTTAATGCTCTTAGGAAAGAAGTGGCCACGTCCCCACTCCTCAGTGTCCTCGTTGGTGGAGACAGGACCCTAAGTGAGAGTGGCACTTGTCTCTTCAGTCTTTGTCAGTCCCAAGTTAAAGGCCAATCTAAGCCAGGTGGTGCACACTGGGGATGCTGTGGCAGGAGGATCACAAGTTCAAGGCTACCCTGGGCAGTTTAGTGGGACTGTGCCTCACAAAGGCTGGGTGTTGCTCAGTGGTAGAGCGCTTGCCTTGCCTGCCCTGGGTTCTACCCTCACCACCACCCAATAGTGGCAGGAAGGTGGAGCAGGTGGAGCCCAGGGCCAAGTGTGCTAGTCACTGTAGGGACCATCCATAGATGTTACAGGAGAGCTCCCAGGTGGGCAGCACAGGGAGGCAGAAGCCAGACCTGGGGCTGGGCTGGGTCCTCCCAGTGGTCCTGGTGTTGACAGGGTTGGAGGAGATTAAACCTGTACCTTACTTTTTTCTTAAAAGAATTAAAAAAATAAACCCCTGCATCTGGTGTGAAAGCTGTGAGGGGCACCATGCCACCAGGAACTCTTTTTGAGTTCACGGAACACAGGCAGCTGCAGAGGCTGTCTGTGCCTCGGGGTCCGGGCATCCTGGGTTCTGGGGCTCACGTTTGCAATCTGCAGCAGCACAGTGATCAGACTTCTGAGAGCAGGGCGTCCGTACCCCAGCCCCTGCTGTGCTGGCCAGCAGATGCGGCATGTGCAGGGTGGTTCCGTGGTGCTGGGGGCAGGAACTCGGGCGTTCTAAGGGGGACCAGAGGAGGGTCTCCAGGGAAGGCAGAGGACCCTGCAGGGCCAGGGGCTCCCAGGGCCTCCCCAGGGGCCGCCTGCAGGGCAGACCCTGTGCAGACCACAAGCCAGGCAGGTGCATTCGTCCTCTGCTGAGTGGACGAGAGCTGTAGTTTATTTTCTAATTGATAGATTTTTGCCTCGAAAATCACTTAGAATTCTCTGGTTACACAAAAACAGTGTTTGACTTGCTGCTGTGGAGCCCCTGCACTTCTGCAGGAAGGCCGTTCGGGGAAAGTCCAGCCCCAGAACAGCTTGGTGGTAGTGAGTCTTGGCCTGTTGGGGCCACGGTGCTCTGGGGAGCTGGTGATGTGACGCCCACACATGGACTGTCCCACCTGGAGGAACGCATAGCCTCCCAGCTTTAGTGGGGGCTCCCCCTGCAGGGGCCCTGGGGTCTGTCTTAGGGCTGCAGAACCTCCCAGCCACTTGGCGGGCCTGTGCCTCAGTCTCCCCACTGGAGAGCAGCGGCAGGGATGGCACAGGTCACAGGCGCAGTACCTAGCAGACAGCAGCTTCTTAATGAGAAGCCCACTGTTAACTCGCAGGCCTCCCTGTGAAGAGGCCATGTCCCTCAGGTCATGGCCAGGTGGTCAGATTCCAGGGTCCACAGCCAGATGAGCTGCCAGGAGGCTCCACCCTTCTAGCCAGAAGGGAGGCTAGGCTGGCCTGTGCAGGTGGTCCTGGCGGGCATCTGGCTGCATCCCCCAAGGTGCATGTTGCTGGTTCCTTGTGTCCTTTCATCAGCTTCCCCAAAGTTGCCTACACCCCAGGGGGTGGTTGAGGTGACCAGAGGTCCAGGGCAGTGTGTGCGGGTAGCTTTAGCAGGGTTGAGGACCACCCTGCAGGACACAGGCTCCCAGGTCCAGGGGAGGCTGGCAACTCTGACCAGCAGGGTGTGGGTGGGGCAAACTGAGGACAGGCCCAGAGCAGCCCCTGTGAGTCTCTGTAGAGCCCCCAGCCTCTGTGAGTCTCCTGTCCACCAAGGGCCAGCAAGCTGGTGGGAGAGGGGGTGCAGCCTCAGCTCGCTGTTCACCTCTGGCTGAGGAGGGCCGATGGTGCGCTGACCCTGGTGGACTGCAGTGCTGTGCGTCTGTACTGGCCGCTTCCAGGGCTCAGCCAGACTCTGGGCTTCTTGGGACCTGGTCCACGTTAGCAGGACTCAGCCCTCAGTGCCCCTCGCACCCCTTCCACTTCAATTGTGTAGAAGCAGGAGGACGGGGGCAGGTGAGGGGCGGAGAGTACCCGCAGGATCCGGGCCGGGTGGCCAGGGGGGCCCTGGGCGGCCTCCTCCTCGCGGAGCCGGTGGGCCATCAGCCTCACAAGGAGCTGGTTGGCCCAGGTTATGCCAAGGGCTGGGGAAATGTGCTCGTCCCAGGGCCTGAAACACGGAGAAAAGGCCGTTGCTGCTGTGGAAACAGTGTCCCCCTCCTGCGCTCAGTGCCAGGAGGTGCCAGCACTTACCCTGGTGGCCCAAGTGCTGCGCGCTGCTCCTCCACAGCCTCTGTCACCTGGAAAAGCCCAGTGGGGTCAGCTGTGGTGGCCGAAGGTCTCTGGGAAGTTTCTGTGTCAACACAGAAAGGTGCACGGCCACTCGAGCGCCGCTGCCCACCCTGCCTTCCCTGGCTCACGGCAAGTAGCTCTGGCCTTGGCCCACCTGGTTGATGCAGAGCACAGGGCTCCGGAAGGTGCTGCTCAGCCGGCGCAGCGTGGCCCCTAGGGACTGCAGGTGCCTGGCCCGGGTGGCCGAGGCCTGACCATCAAATTCACAGCGGAAGGGGCCTGCCACGGAGTCTACCACCACCAGGCGGGCCATGCCCCGTGACAGGAGGACGGGGACCTTGGTGCTCACACACTCCAGCAAGGTGTCCTGTGGGAGTTAGGGACGGCATCATGGTCCCTCCAGGTGCCCAGGTCCCCTGGCACTGCCCTATTGTCTGTGTCCTCCCCAGACACTGCACCAGAGCCTTGCATTCCACCTCTGCGTTTCTCCAGAGGCTCTTGTTTGATAAGCTGGAGGCCTACCCAGCTCTCCCCTGGCACTGTGCCCTCCGCTGGCCCTCCGAGCGGGGGTCCTCTGCAGCATCATCCCACCCCCACGCACAGCCTTCCGTGAACTGCCTGTGCTCACACCAGACTCGGGCAGCCCTTCTCTGCCCTGGGGCTGTCATCTCACCTCCCATCAGAGATCAGCCCACCTCCTTCAATAGCTCCTAGACCACCTGGACCCAGATGCATCTGCAAAGGCCAGAGCTGGTGGCCACCTGATCACCAGGTGTGCCCATCAAGCAGTTCTGAGCAGGGGTCCCAGAGTCTATCCTTCATAAGGCAGGCACTGCCCCAAATTTATCTGTGTCAAGTGCCAGGATCACATGTAGGGGCTGCACCCTGGGAGACCATGCAGGTGGGGGCCAGCCCTTCCACCACCCTGTGCTCACACAGCCCTGGCCAGGGGTGGAAATGAGCCCCTTCCAAGGCAGACCCTCCTCAGGGCTCCGTTTGGGGACCTTTCTGGCCCCAGGGCTAGGTGGGCTGTGATGCAGTAGGTGGCTAATGATGGCAGAGGTCTGCGTGGTGGAGGGGACGAGGCAGGAACACATGGGTGAGCAGGCCCGAGGACACAGGCACCAGTTCCAGGTCTGCAGATCATCCCAGCCAGCTGTGCCGTGCCACACAGGCTGTGGCACCTGCAGCTCCAAAGAGCTGCGAGGGCCTGGAGTCCAGCCCAGCGTGATACCAGGTCTGTGCTTCTCCCCAGGGCATCCCCAGCGGAGCCTCTTTGTGTGGAGAATGACAGCAGCAGCCTGGAGGATGCCAACTCTAACGTGAGTTCCACACACTGGCCTCCGCCAAGGCCACAGAGGAGGTGGAGGGGGACAGGCATGGCCTAAGGCCCTGCTTCTGCAAAAGGGGGCTCCTTGTACAGAGATGAACGCACAGGTCCCCTACGTCCCCCAGCCCTAAGCCACCTGTTTCCAGGCAAGAGTGAGGAGCCCCTGAGCTATCTCCAGAATAGGGCCTGGCCTGACCTGCTGCCTTCTCTTGCAGTGATCCTGGCCTGCTCTGCTCTAGGGTACCAGGACGCTGCCCTGTGCAGCCCCGGAGCTGGCCCTGGGACCGGCAGGCTGAGGCTGGGAGGGCCCTTGGCTGGGGCTGCAGCGCTAACTTAGTTCTCCTGACCATGACCGCGGAGCGCCATACTAATAATGAACCACCCCACTGGCAAGGCCTTGGAGAGGCACTCGGCTGGCTGGGCAGGTGCCACCCAGGCAGCCCTGAGGGGACGGCAGGCAGGTGCAGTCTGCCCCTCCCTGGAAGGCTCTCAGGGACAGGGTATCCATGTCCTGTGCCTGCCTGACCTCCCTGTGCCCTTTGCTAGCTCCTGCACTGTGTGATAATGTATTTTATTGTAAATTTTAAAAATTAAAAGTCTATACACCTCATCCTTTACTTGAAAGCGTCTTTCCATAGCAATTCTCAAAGGTGGGCTCTGCCCTCCGTGTTCACGTCTGGTGCAGCCCTGCTGGCCGGGAGGGGCAGTGCCACACTCACCAGGACAGACACCATCAGAAGCAGAAGGGGATGGCAGAGGTTCCCTGCACCAGGGGTCCTGGGCCCAGAGGACACCCTGGTCCCACCTGGGCTTCTCTCCCACTCTTTCCTCCTGGGGGCGCGGGCGAATGAACATCCAGCTCAGTTAAACGTGAAGTCTGGGCCAGATGGCACAGTGCCGCTCAAAGAATGCACAGTGGGCAGTGCCCTGCCTGTGGGGCCACAGGCATATTCAGGCCCAGACCCTCTGCTTGGCCCCAGTCACCAGGTTCCTGAGTCCTCTCCAGCCCCACCTGGGCACATGCGGGTGAAACCTGGTGTCAACGAGGCTCCTGCTCAGTCAGTGCAGCGAGAATCCCACTCTCCACATCCAGTCCCCACGTCCCACCAGGCTCCTCATCCTCCATCACCCAGGTGGGGGCTGGTCCCCTGACCACTGACATCTCCTCTTGGTAACTTTCTACCCTCTGACCCCACCTGGCCACACGTCCCCACCTGGCCCCCACTGTCCCGGCTGCTGCAGCACCACAGAGACACTCACCGCGTCGGCCGCGTGCTCCACGAAGATCTGGCTGCCGAAGCGGATGCTCTGGACCACGTCCTGTGGCACGTCTGCCCGCAGGCGCTGCTGCTGCTGCATGAGCTGCTGCAGCCGGCGGCTGGGGAAGGCATCCTCCGTGCAGATGTAAACAGCCCCTGGGAAGCCACGCGCCACGCTTCAGAGGACCCGCGGCTTCAGAGGGCCACACCACCCACACAAGACGTCTTCCTGCTCCCACCTGAGCTGGCGGACCAGAGCCGATTCTGGTCCCACCTGCAGCCCCCTCCCTTGGGAACGCGGCTGGACTTCAGCTCTGATACCCAGGTACATACACCTGCTGCCCTGAGCCCGGGGCCAGAATGGCTACAGGTGGGCTCCTGTTCTGCCCATTTCTGCTCCCTCCACCCCCTGGCTGGGCAGGGGAACAAGTGGATGGGCAGGGCCAAGGGGCTTTTGAAGATGTCCCTCCCTTGGACCTACAGAGACCCTTTGCTCCACTCTCTGGGCTCCTGACACTGCACCTCAGTGGTGATTGGAACAAGTGGTGAGAACAGGGTCATTGGCCCTGCGCAGCCCCTGGCAGCCGCCTGGGCCTAGACTCTGTGCTCAGGGCATGCTGAGAGCCTGCACTGAGAGCCAGGGCCGTCCAGGCAAACCCTGTGTTGGTGGGCATCTCACTTTGATCAGAGAGGCCAGAGGGCTCAGGGGGAGGAAGAACCTCTGCACAGATGGCACCAGGATGACCGGATGACGTACACCTGCAAAGGACCGAAGCTGGACTTCACACTAGGTGCAAGAATGCACTCAGAATGGCCCACACGTGGGCGCCAAGACTCTTAGGAGAAAACCTGAATAAATCTTCATGACCTTAACTGACACCAAGCACAAGCAACTAAAGAAAGAGGACCCACAGGAGAACACGTGGTCAGGCTGTGTGCCCAGGGCACAGAGTTCTTAAACCTCGATAAGAAGGCAGCTCCAATATGGCAAGGACCCCAAGAGATGTGTCTGCAAGGCCATCAGGCACAGGAGATGCCCAACATCCCTGTGGACCAGGGGATAGGAGCCCAAACCACAAGGGTCGGCTGCCCCGTGCCTCTAGAGATGGAGAGGACCAGGGAACATGGCCCTGGTGTGTCGCTGCTGGGGACATGCGTGATGCTGGGGGGCAGTCAGGTGTGGGACTGAAGGGACACCAGCCCAGCTCTGGGAATTGGTTGTATCGGCCACTCATGGTGCAGGTCACTGTCACTGCGCGTGCGCACGGTGTGGCAGCTGGTGTCTCGGTTGTCCTGGGCTCCTGACCATCCCTCCGGAGGCTCTAGACACTGGCTGTCACCCAGGGGTAGATGTGTCACGTGCCCTTGCCCTGCACTCTGGCTGTGGCCACATAATCTGCAGGGGACATTGGCAGGTGGGTGTGATATGTTGCGGGGCTCACACTGGGTGGCAACCTCGAGGGCTGGCCAGTGACCCTGGCGACCAGATGCCGGAGGGTTCAGGTCTGCGGAGGCTGCCTCTGAAGGTAGCCGGGCCCCAGCTCCTTCCCCTTATTCTTCTGCAAGAGGAAGATGGGAATCCTGAGGCGGCCACTAGCCCACTTAGTGGGAAGCAGCTGAAAGTAGAGCCAGGAACTCAGAGCCACCAGATCAGGACCCTCCCTGCCCCAGGAGGAGGGTGGACACTCACCGGCCTCCAGGCCTCCGTGCTGTGGTGGGAACTGCACAGCCAGGCAGAGCTGCAGTGCCAGCTGGGTCTTCCCAGCTGAGCTGCAGCCAGCCAGCTCCGTGATGCCCTCCAGGGGCAGGCCGCCGCCCAGGAGCCCGTCCAGGATGGGGCAGCCCAGGCTCAGGCGCTGGTGCTGCGCGGGGAAGCGCTCCCTCTGCTGGTACAGGTGCAGCGCTGCAGGGAGGGGTGAGGTCACGCAGCTTCCTGCCCAGTGCCCCACCCCGTCCAGACGGCAGGTGTGAGGAGAAGACTGGCAAGGGGGTCACATTGGGTGGGCAGAGGGGAGGTGGCCTGGCCACGTGGCTGTGTGCCAGATAGAACCCGGGAGAACCTGCCCCTGCTAGACTTCCCAGTTCTTGGCCAAACAACGCAGCTAGACATTCTCAGAGAGACTGCTGCCCCCAGTGACAGGGCACCAGGCTGAAGCCGACCCTGGGCCCAGAGCTGAGTGGTGCTGGATACCACGGCTGGCTGTTGCCAGAGATCTTGTGAAATTAAAATGCGCCTCAAACCCTGACAGTCCCCAAGGTTGCACAGCAGATCTGATTAGGCTTGAAGTTGGCTAAAAACCAATGAGGCACAAATAACAATCATTCTGAAGCATGTCCCACAGCAGGAGACTTCGTGCAGCATCCCACAATGGTCTCAGCAGCCAAGGCCACTCAGACCCCAGGATCATCCTCCTTGCGAGGGCGGCTCTGTGGGAGGGGTTGTGTGGTCCCTGGCCTGAGCCCTCTCTGGGCCCCACTGGGACCACAGGTGCGTTCGCATATGCACGCACACGTACACACATGTGGCAGCCATCTGCTGGTCACGCTGACACCCTGGGGTGAGGTGAGGACCCAGGGAAAGGTCCAGAGCCAGTGGGGCCAGGAGCAGCAGCCCCCCTGTGCCCAGCCTGGGCAGGTCAGCACTGAGGCAGGCTCCAGTCCCAGCCACAGCAGTGTGCTGAGTGGGTGCCCAGGACCACTGAGTGTCTGCAAGGGAGGGCACAGTGGACCCCTGCCTGGCCAGGCACCAGATCACAGGGAGCTGGCAGCCCTGCACACTGATAATAGGAGCCTGGCTCTGTGGGCACTTGGTTCCCACTCTTGTGGCGGTGGCCCTGGGCAGGTCCCTCTGCCGCCCCAGTTGGGCACTGCTGCACCATCTGCCCCACCCCCACCTCACCCCTGCAGCCTCAGCTCTTCTCTGACCCAAGAAAGCAGCCCTAGGTGCCCCTCCCTCCCCCAGCGCAGGACGTCTGTGGCAGGTCCTGGCCCTGGGACCCCATGGCTCTGTGGACCCCCATGGCTCCTGGCACTGACCCCAGGTATCTGCCACAGCCACTCTCCACCCACCTGTGAGGATGGGGCCCCCACGCAGGTGTGAGGAGGCCGCTGTCAGCAGGTGCTGGACGTCAGGGCTGGACAGGCCGGTCAGTCTCTGTAGGTCAGCTCCAGAGAAGTGCAGGACCTCCTTCACGGCCTTCAGCCTGGCTGACACCAGGAAAGACCAGGAGTCGGACGGCGCTCACAGGAGGCAAGGCAAGGTGGCACCGCCTGGCAGGGCCCCGCTTCAGGTCGGGGACCACCTGCAGCCAGCCCTGGGCAGTCGGGTGGAGTGGGCAGGGCAGTGGGGGAGGAGGCTCAGGGACAGTGCCCTCACTGCACCTTCCTGTGCCCCCAGTGCAGTTGGAGAAAGGTGGGCAAATTCTGGGTGCTGTGAGGTGGCCTCCGTCACAAATGTCCACCCCCAGAAATGTCTCCAGAGGGCAGTGCTGCCTGGCAAGTGGCATGTGCCCCTGGTGTCAGCTCCTAAGAGGCTGCAGCAGGGGCTCTAGGTGACACAGCGAGACTCAAACAGTCAGTGGACGGTCACCTGCCTAGGTGTGCAAGGCCCTGGGGTCAAAACCAGAAAGGGGAGGAGGGGAGGCGGGAGGGGCCGCTGGCAGGTGGGCTGCGGGGCGGCCTCCTCGGTGGCTCTGGGCTGGGCGGGCATGGCTCTCCACTTCTGCACTAGTGGGAAGAAAAACAATGTTGCACACACCCCCAGGCGATGGGGGAGTGGACAGAACACCAGAGAGGAGGACAAAGGGCTCACAGGGAGAGGGGGATGGAGCCAGATACCACCACCAGCCACCCGACAGGAGGCTCCAGTCCCGACAGGTGGGACTGACCACAGGAACGCAACTCCTGAGGCACGCTCTGAAGGAGATCTGCAGAGGGCAGGAGGGGCCAGGGGAAGATGGCTTCCCAGCAAGCAATGTTGCCTGAGGGAGGCTCTGGGGACAGCCGGCAGATGGCAGATGTCCCAGACTGCAAGTGTGGTGTCTGCAGCCACGGCAGCCACCCTACGATCATGAGGCCACCACCAGCAGGACAAGAGGCCAACAGGCAGCGGAGCAAGGCCCTGAGTGTGCCAAGTGTCCTGAGGCCCCAGGGGACAGGAAAGGCGAGGGAATCAGGAACAGAGCCTGGAGACAGCTTGTGCAGACTGCAGAGGCAGCTGAGGAGCCACAGGGAACAGGTGACCCGCTCCCCTTCCTAGGCCACACCCACGTGTGCACTGATGGGAAGGACCTCAAAAGTCCCTTCCGTCAATGCTCATAGAGGAGCCACAGCATGTCCCAATGCTGAGGCCACAGTTGGGGTCTCAGGGGAACACCGTGGAAAGTTGATGTTCTGTGACCCTGTTCTACACCAAGTGTGCTCACACACCCACGTGTCCACGTGACACTTCAGTCTTAGGCAAGTTAAAATACCTTTCTTAACTGCAGCAATAATCCTGGGGTTCAGGTCCAGCTGATCCAAATCCATGTCCTCAATGGCTGGCCACCAGGATGAACACTTCTGGGGGCTGCAGATTGGAGGTGCTGACTCCCAGCCCAGGTAGTCTGTGGGAGTGAGTGGGAGAGGGCTGTGCTCAACATCTGTGCAGCCAGGTCTCCACCTGAGGGCAGAGGGAATGTCGCTGTCCTGGACACTGTCCAGTTAAGTCCAGAGCATCTACCTCCAGGAGTGATGTGGCAGTAGGAAGCCTGGGGTGCTGAGGACACCTGGCCCAAGAGAAGCATGTCCTTGCCAGCACCCTGCTCTCAGCTCAGCTCAGCTCTCTTGGTGTTGGGGACCAGATAGAGAAGCAGGGTAGGGACACGAGGTGAGAGAGGGACTCTGGACCGCCCAGGGTGCTGACCCCCACGGGCTTTCTTTTCCAAGAAGCCATTTACCTGCAGCCCGGCCTGGTCTGGTGACAGGCTAAGTCACATTCCTCAGCAAACTACCTGTTAACTGCAGGAGAAATGCAGACCTGAGATACTGTCCAGGGAAGAACCCAGGGGACGTTTGTGACCAGCTCCTGAAACTAAGGGAGACAAGAACATTTCCTCCTGACCATAAAATCTGCAAGAATGTACGGTTAAGAATCCAGTTAGATGGGCTGGGGATGTGGCTCAAGCGGTAGCGCACTCGCCTGCCATGCGTGCGGCCCGGGTTCGATCCTCAGCACCACATACAAGCAAAGATGTTGTGTCCACCGAAAACTAGAAAACAAATATTAAAAAATTCTCTCTCTTTAAAAAAAAAAAAGAATCCAGTTAGAACTGGTCAGCATGGGCCAGGTGACCTAGAGTGGCCATGGCAGTGGAGACTTCCAAGTCTGATGTCATCCTGCTGTCAGTCAAAAGTCAAGAGGGGGACCTAGGCAGGACTCTCTGGAAACTTCCCTGGGATCCCCAGTAAAGCTGGAGTGCAGGAAAGGCACGTTGTCCCTCTCCTTCCTGAGGACCCCCTCTCTCCCTTGGGACTGTCCCCTCTCCTTCCTGATGACCCCCTCTCTCCCTTGGGACTGTCCTTTTCCCCCTTCCCCATCCCTTCAATAAATCATTCCTGTTGCTCTGAGTGATGTCTGAAATCTTTGGCCTGGTCGCAAGAATTGGGGTTAAGAGAGGGTCTTCATGCTGCCTCAGTTTCTTGGAAGGCTCCGGCCCTGTACCATCGGGATGATATCCAGCCCCCAGATCCCCTTTTATGGGGATCACATGACTTCAGAGTCTTTGGCAATCTCTGGCTTAATTTCCCTCAAATGTGTCTCCCTCCCCATTCAGAAAGTGTAGAGGAAGCGCGCTTAGGATCTTGCAGGAACCTGAGGACCTCGGCAGAGTCAAGGAAGCCTGGCCAGGCCGAGGTAAGGGACCGAAGGGCAAGGCTGCTGCCCACCTCACCCGTCAACACGTGGGTGCCCTCCAAGGAAGGAGCACCAGTGGCCCTTCTGTGGCCTGCGAGGCCACAGAAGGCTTTCCTGCCCTCCGGCGTGGGACGGCTGTGCAGGGACTCAGCCCTTTCCAACAAGCTGCTGTCCTCCCCGGTGGCCTCCCCACAGCAAGGTCAGGAATGTACATGGGGTGCTGGGAAGAGTTTGGTCTTGCAGACTTGAGGCCAGTGACCTGGACGAGCCCAGCATTTGGGGGTTAGGTCTACCAGGGGAAGTGGGCAGCAGTGGGTGAGGCTTCCCTCATGGACTCAGGATGTGGCCTTCTGCATCCTCCCAGGTTGGAGCAGGGCCGAGAAGCCAAGAACAGCCACAGTTCAGACTCAGCTCTAGCCTGGGCGAAGACCCAGGCACAGCTGCTCCTCGCCCACCACAGCTCCCGGGAGGCAGCTGCTGGGTAGCAGGAAGCAGTGGCTGGAGGACACACTTCCTGATGGGGTCACAGGGCTCCTGGGGCCCAGAACCTGTGGGCCTTCCAAGTCAGCTCCTGACCGTTCCCTACTGTGGCCTGGGGCAACACACGGGGAGACTCTCGGCGCTGGGCTGATAGTACTGCCCAGCTGGATAGCAGACACACAGAGCTCCCAGGCCCACTCAGGGTGGTCAAGAGACAATGGATGTGCATCTGAGCAGAAGCTGGCTTAGCAGTTACAGAGAACCACAGCATTAGTACTGGGATACATGTTCTAAAGGAAGCAGCCGAGAAGGGGGTGATGGGGGTTCAAAGCAGCTCAAGGGCTGCTGATAGAGCTGGTAGCTGGCATGAGGGAGTTAGACTCCCAAGCAGAGAACAGATGGAGGCACCTGGTCATCAGAAACCTGGCTGGGCCTCATGTGGCAAGGCAGGAGCATCCCTTTGAGAATATGGGAATTTGAGAGCCCTGAAGTTGGGAGGAGGGTTAGGGTGTGAACCAAAGTGGGGTGTGAGCTGGCAGGGACCCCAGGGCATACACCAGAGGTAAAGACAGCCTCCAGAACAACAGCCAATCTGTCTTACTGCCAGAGCTCCGAGGGTCTACGTGTGGAAAGCTCCTGGGACACTGGCCTGGGGCTGGCAGGAGGCTGCTGCCTCAGGCTGGGCTGGACACCAGGCAGCACAGAAAGGCCCACAGAGGACCCTGCACCTGGAGCCTTCAAGGGGGCAGGGCATCTGGAAGCAGGCTGGTTATTCATCAAGACCCTCCACTTGGTCTTTTTTCTTTGCTGTGCCTGGATATCAAACCCAGGGCCACTAGCATGCGAGGCAACCAAGTCACACCTGGCCCCACTTGGCTAATCTTTCCAGGTTCCTGAGTCCTCTCCAGCCCCACCTGGACTCATGCTGGTGAAACCCGGTGTCAGTGAGGTCCCTGCTCAGTGCAGTGGGAACCCCACTCTCCACATCTAGTCCCCACATCCCACCAGGCTCCTCATCCTCCACCACCCAGGTGGGCGCTCCCCGGTCCCCTGACACCTCCTCTTGGTAACTTTCCACCCTCTGACCCCACCTGCCCATGTGTTCCAGGTGAGCCTTGTCTGTCTCTCTCACTACAAACCCACTACTCTGGTTCCTGGATAGACAGTGATGGTCCTGGACTTTAACAAGTGCCATTGAAAAACATTTTTAATGCCGAACATCTGCTGTGTCTGACAGCCCCACTTTTGTCTTCCAGAGTGTCCAGCTGAGCTTTAATCTCCAGGATAAGTACTGCACAGGAGGTACTGTTACCCAAAGAAACCAGAGAGTGAGCATGGAGGGGTGCCGCCATGCTCGGTCACACTTGCTGGGGCAGCACGACCTTCAAGACTGGAACTGTTATTTTTCTTTCTATTGTTAAGTTCAGAGCTAAATTCAAGTAAGGCAAGTCCACTGACATCTCCATAAAACCCACCAAGGGTAACAAAGCTGAGCGCTCACATTTATCCAACACTTGGGATGTTCCCAGGGCTGCTGGAAGCCCCGGGCCCGGGTCAACGCACACAAGCCTCACAACAAGGATGGAGGCTCTCCGTTTCGATGAAGAGGAAACGAGAGCGCAGAGGGGTCCAGTCATACGGTTAGCTCACACAGCCACAGTCACGCTGCGGCTGGCCTGGGAGTCAGGCTCCCGGGTCCGTTCCGAGCGCGGGAGCTGCAGCAACCCGGGCCTGGCCTCCGGTTCCTGCGATCTCCGCCCGGCCGCGGAAACCCTCCCCCCGGCAGGTCCTGAGAACCGCGGAGCGGGCCCCGGGGCCCCTTCTCTCCTCAGCCCCAGGACTCCGCGCGCCCACTCGCCAACCAACTCCGGAAATCGCGGAGGCCTGCCCGGCACCCCTCAGGTCACCTCGGCCGCGGAGCCGCGCCCCACCCGCTAACCCGGTGCGGCGATCGCAGCCCCCTGCCCCGGCTCTCACCAATCGCGCGCTCCTCACGCCTCTTCGCGCCGGCCCGCCCCCTCAGCCTTCTCTTCCAATGAGCGCAGAGCTCCCTGAGCCGGCCACACCAATCAGACACGAAGACGTGCCTATGTGACCGACCAGTCAAAAGTCTCAATCGCCCGGAGAGGGGCGGAGCGATCCAGGGTCGGCCCTCGTCGCCGATTGGTGGCCGCCCGCAGGGTGGCAGAGGTGGGGCCCTTGCGCGTACTGGAGAGAATTGCTATGGGCGGATCCCTGACTCCGATTGGCCCGCGCTCTGGGCCAGGCTTAGCGATTGGGCGCCAGCGTTGTCAGCCCGCGCGGGCGGGGCGGTGCTGCCCAGCTCTGCCCAGCTGGTGCGGGGCCGAGCGCAAGCCGCGGCGCTAGGATCCGAGTTGGAGACATGTCCTCCGGGGTGGCCGCGCGCCACGACGCCAAGAAGCTGGTGCGCTCCCCAAGCGGCCTGCGCATGGTGCCCGAGCACCGCGCCTTCGGAAGCCCGTTCGGCCTGGAGGAACCGCAGTGGGTCCCAGACAAGGAGGTGCGTCCCCGCCCGGCCTGGTCCTGGCCCCTCGGACCTGCCCGCGCGCGACAACCCCCCGCCCCCCCCTTCCTCCCGGCCACTGCCCTGGACACCCTGGGCCTCGCGGCCGCGGCTCCCTTTCCGGGGTCCCCGCACTCTTGTCTTCCCACTCTCGAAGTCTGCTTCCTCTCGCCTGCGATTCCGCGGCTGTCCTGGGCCGAGCCGCTGCCCCCGCCCCGCTGCGGGAGCGGGAGGCGAGGACTAGAGGCGCGCCTGCCGCGTGCACTTCGGCGAGTGGCAGGGGCGAGCCTCGGTCTCCAGAAAGCGAGGCCGGCCCGCACTTGTGCCGGCGGGAGGACGGGGGCGCCATGAGCTCTCCGGCCTGGGGTGGGTGCGGCCCTCTGGAGACCTCGGAGTTTGCACTCAGAAGTTCTGGAGTCTGCAAAGCCAGGCCACTTCTAAGAAAACGGAGGCATTCCAGGCATTCCTTATAATTTCTTATTCCAGAGAAAATAAAAAATGCCTAAAAAAGCCAAAAGTACTGGTGACTTTTGGAAATGCTCTAAGTTACAAGCCCTGAACAAATTCTGATAACTGATTTTCCTCTCTCCCATTGGGGGGAATCTGCTACAGACCGCAGAGGAGTGAAATCAGGTGTTCTTAGTGCAGCCAGCTGGCAGGCCCCTTGCGAAGGCACCTGTGCGCCCAGAAGCTGGGGAAAATAGCCACCTTCCACCTCTTAAGTTAGATCAGAGCCCTTTAGAAAGATGGCGCAGATCAGCACTCTGCTCCCAGAGGCCCAGAGAGGGTGCCCAGGCCACTCCTGGATGTGTTGGGTGGGGTCACACCCTTGACCCTCTGAGCAGGTCCCTGTGTACCTGGGGTTCCTGCCCTTCCCCTTCTGCACTTTACCCTTAGTGCTTCTCCACCCCCCACTCCCCAGAGCTCACAGGGCCTCTTTCCACCTGGCAGCCTGGCTTGTGCCCTAAAGCTGATTAAGCAGTAATACAGAGTGCATCCCTGAAGAGTGTGTGCAGAAATGAGGCAGGTGGCAAGTTTGTTATGTGTGTTGTATCACAATAAAAAAAATGAGGAAAAAGATGATTTTTAAAGGTAATGTGACTCTCCTGTGGATAGAAGTAAACATGTGCTTCGGCTCATTAGTTCACTCAGGAACCCTGCAGGCCTTACAACCTGTTCAACGGCAGGCTGGGAGCATAAACTGACAGATCAAATAGGGAAGAGCTGGGACCAGAACTCCGAAGTGGGTGATAAAGTGCTGCCCTTAGCAAGGCTAGACCAGCAAGTCTAGACTGGAATTTCTCGCCTTTGTCCTGTTGCCCATTAAGAATTTAACTTTTTAGACTGTTCTTTCCCTAACTAACCCCCAATGAAACATTTGCACATGACCTTAAGCCAAAGGCTAAGAAGCAATCCATGATGAAATCTTTTTTTTTTTTTTTGGTGGTGCTGGGGATTGAACAGAGGGTCCCATGTATGTAAGGCAAACAATCTACCAAGTGAGCTATATCCCCAGCCCTCCTGATGATATCTTTGAATAAGAGTTTTTAAGGTGACAAGTGAAACTATATATTTGTGGTGTGCCCCTATAAAGTCTTGGTAGCAAATGCACAATGCTCACATTCATGTGGACCTTGTGGATGGTGTGAGAACATGTGGTCTGGACAAGGTGTTTTCTACCGAAGCATATTTTCCTGATTTTAGTTTCCACAGTTAAGCCTGTGAGCCCTTTTGGAATTACCTGTGATAACTGTTTCACCTCTTCCTCTAAGCAAGGTGCCTTTCTTTGCAGCTGGGCTCTTATAAAGGTGCTGGGTGGTGAGGTGGAACTGGGCTCTGCCCAGGCTGTCTTAGGAATGCTGGCATGGCTGACAAGCTGAGTTGAAATGCTGTTGGTGTGGTGTCTCTCATAATAAGCTTGGTTCCCACCCTGGAGGGCAGGCGGGGTTTCCCAGGACCATCCTCACCCCAGTGCATCTGAATTACGACTCACCAATCTGAGTAGCCCAAGAAGGCCCAAGAATCTGAGGGACCTAAAGCTCTGACTTTCAGAAAGTGTATTTCAAGGGCTGGGTTGTAGCTCAGTGATAGAGCGCTCACCTAGCATGCATGAGGCCCTGGGCTCCAGCCCTAGCACTGAAATGAAAAATCTCTTGAATTTTATTGGAGCATGGTCCTGGAGTCTAGAACCTGCCAGAGTTTTCTGGAGGAGCCTTGAAGAAGAGCAGGTTGGACTGGTTGGGATAGTCCCCAGGTCACTTCCTGTACTGGTTGCTGGCCCTTGGCGGAACAGGATGCACCCACCTTGCTCTGAAGGCCACGTGCTGTGCTTACCTGTGCTGGGAGGTGACCCAAGCACAGAGGTAGCCAGCTGTGGAGAACTGGCTTTTTGGTGGTTTGGAATGAGTGGACAGTAGGACAGAGTAGCAGGGTCACTCCTGCCACTTATCTCCTCCCCTATCTCCTATCACCCGCACCTGGAGACTGCACCTACATCGCTGACTGTTCTCTCTGGCCTTTCTTCAGCTGGGTCAGTCTAAGTCCAGCCCACCCCGCATCTGCTGGGTTCTTGCCAGGTGATCACTGTGGCCCACAAAGGTTATGGCTTAGAGATGCTGCAAATTGAGGGGAGTATGCATGTGTCCTTCCAGAGGGGGGCCTGAATCTCTCTGGCTCTCAGTGAGATCGTGACCCAGAGCTGAGAGTTTTCTCTGGGTAAAGAAGGCTGTGCTCCCAGGAGCCTGTGGGGCCTCATGCCACGCAAGTTTGGAAGGTGCTTTGGGAGCTGGAGGCTGGGCTGGGGCCGGGCTGCTGGACATGCTGCCATAAAGACTTGAGTTTGATCCTTGAAACCCATCCTGCCCTTCCTTCCCATCTGTGGAACTGCCTACAGCTGTGGCTGCCCATGCTGTCATTTCCACACACGGGTCCTATAGATGAAGAACCAGTGGGGATCCAGGTACTGGGCTTGGGAGGGGTTGTATTCAATAGGACAACAGCCCGAGAGGAACTGAGTAGCGTGATGGGGCAACTGGACCGGGAGTTCTGCAAGTGTCTCACAGGTCAGGCCAGAAAGGGCCTGAGCAGTGAGTGGCTCAGGATGGAAGTATGGCAGCTCCACAGTAAATCAGTAGGTCGAAGGCCTGAACCCAGAAGCCAGGTGGGCCGGGGCTGCTGGTAGAGAAGCTTCTCTCCAGTCAATCATGTATCTGGGCCTTTGCCCCACTTGGTCAGTAGCGACCCAAGTTGAGCCAGTGCTTTGTGGGCAGAGAGTGGGGATTTGGATGGCCTGCCAAGCATGGCCCGGTAGAGGGGGGTCAAGGGCACTGGTAACCTTCGGTAGGTCATGCAGGGAAGGGGAGTGCTTGGCCAGTGCTGAAGGCAGGGATTTCATAATTGTTTTCCAGGACCACAGGTAAGGTTCACCCTGTGAGGTGCCAAGGGCTGCCATAGCCTCCCCAGCTGTGGCAGGACGCTGCCTGGGGCACAGAGCTTCCTGAAGCCCTGTGGCTGGCTGAGCTTTTGATAATGTTAGGAGAAGCTGTCCGACATTCGAGGCAGGGGATCCTGGATGTGTCCTCCTCCTGGGACAGTCCCCACCTTTCACTGGCTGAGTTGCCTGACAACCCTGTAAACTGAAAACCGGAGAGCAAGGCAGAAGGTTCTAATGCTCGAGGTGCGGATGATGCCTGCCCCTTCTGCATTCCAAATGAGGACACATTTGCAGCTATGGGTCTCTGAGGACTTCCTCCTGAGGCATGCAGAATCCCAGCACCACTGGCTTCTGCACTGGACCAGTACTACAGCAGGCCCTCAGGACCTGATGGAACTTCCTCAAGGCTGCCCGCTCACATGCATAGCTTTTGCAGATAATTAAAATTATCATTGTTAATTTTTTGTCTGGGTACTGAGTACTGGGGATCAAACCCAGGGCCTCATATGTGCTAGGCAAGCACTCTACCACTGAGCCACATCCCTAGTCCTTTCTATTTTATTTTGAGGCAGGGTTTCTCCAAGTTTCCCAGGCTGACCTTGACCTTGATATCCTCCTGCCTCAGCCTCTGGAGTCTCTGGTGGGCATCTGCTGCTGCACCTGGCTTTTGGCAGGAGTTTTGTTCTCATAGCTTCACCTGCTTTATTTCCTTGTTCTCTTTTCATATAAATTGCTCTGTTTGAAATTTAAAAATTTTATTTTAACTAATGAAATCAACTTGTTTAAAAATCTGGGGGTTTTTTGACTGTGATCGCAGTGACTTAGGAGGCTGAAGTAGGAAGATTTCAAGTTCAAGGTCAGTCCCAGCAACTTAGTGAGACTGTTTTGAAAAATTAAAAAAACAAAGCTGGAAATGTAGCTCAGTGGTTGTCTAGCTTGTGCAAGGCCCTGAGTTCGATCCCTAGTACCAAAAAGAACCCCAGCCCTCAAAAGAAACCACTGTTCATTTTCTGAATAAGTTCATCGTTATTTAGAGTAATAAAAACCTGTGAATCATTTTATATTTTTAAGGGAGCAGATTTAAGCCCTAGATGGGGTCTCAAGTAGCACAGCTCAGCAAAGTGCTGTGGTACTGGAGGCCCTCAGGTCGGCTGTGGAGAGGTGGGAACAGAGGTGTTCTCACCACAGCTGGTGGGGTCACGGCTGCCTCATTTAACTCTAGGCACACACTGTAAGACCTCCTCCAGGGTATGCTAGTGGTTTCTGTGATTGACAGACAATTGGGGTTGAGGAGGAAGCCAAGAGGACTGTGCCCAGCACAAAGAGCATTCTGGAACCTACAGGCATTTGAGGGTGAAGGCAGCCCACGGCAGAGCTGCTGACTGGCCTCTGCGGTGCTCAGAAGCTGTGGTGGGTCAGGCCTGGTCTCCAAGTCCAGACACCAGCTTGGCAGTAGAGGGAAAGAGCATTAGTCATGGAGGCTCAGAGTTGGAAGCCGTGTACAGTGCCATGTGGAATGTGGCAGAGTGGAGTTGTGATGCACCTGTCTTTGCAGTGCAGCAATGTCCTAAAAGGCTCCTGGCATTCCAAATGAGGACACATTTGCAGCTATGGGTCTCTGAGGACTTCCTCCTGAGGCATGCAGAATCCCAGCACCACTGGCTTCTGCACTGGACCAGTACTACAGCAGGCCCTCAGGACCTGATGGAACTTCAAGGCTGCCCGCTCACATGCATAGCTTTTGCAGAGTACCTGTGCACCAGCCTGGTGCTGGAAACACCATCTACAGGGGTCCATGGACTCGAGGGAAACCCCTGCCTTTGGGAAGCATGCAGAGCTCATGGAGTCGAGGCAGGGCAGTAGGTGATGGTAGTTCTATGTCCTTGACAGCCGCTCCTTGCCATTGTCTTCCAGGTCTGCATGTGAAGAGGCTGAGGCCTGGAGGGGCGTGCAGAGCAGGGAGAGTGTTCATGAGTCTGCTAGTTAGGGCAGCAGAGAGGACAGTGAAGAGCCTCTGGGACTTGTAGCGGCAGCCAGTGTATGATTTATTGTGTTTCTGGCTGACCAGAGTTTATATGGCTGGTGTCAATTGAGGCAGATACCTGGGACAAGGTGCTACTCTCTGTGGTCCCTGCACTGTGCAGACCTGATGTCGCTGGTTATAGAAGATGCCCAGTGGCCATAGTGAGCCCGTGTTCCTCCTCTGGACTGAGGCAAGGGCAGATGGGCGCCACATTAGTCAGTTTTTCAGCCCCAGGTGCAGGCTGTCAGAGCTGCAGATCTGTGTTGAGGAGCTGAAGTCTCAACTGGATGCTGAGCGCCAGGATGACAGTGTAGCACTGCCCTGTGACCTTAGTTGCAAGATCTGGAGCCACTCATGTTAGATAGTCAGTGTGAGATAGAGTCAGCTCTGTTATAATGTGGCCATTTCCAATCCTGCCTCCTCTTTGAGATATTCAAGCCATCTCTGGTCTTCCTGGCCACTGAAATGGGAAAGGAGGCTCTCTGTGGAAGTCTCTGCTCACGTCTTGAATGCGGACAATTCCGGATGAATATTCAACCGAGTCCTTAGTCACTGAGGGCAAAGTGGCCTTCATCTCTCCCTCGGGTTCCTCTTGGGATCCACTGCTGAGGAACCTGTTCATTGTGCACTTGTGTCCAGGTTGCCACTGGCTGCCCAGGACCATGTCCTGACCTGGGGTCTCTGGCAAGTCTAATCACAGGGATGCATCTATCACACCAAGAGGCCATCCCTGCCCACCTTCCAGCCTTCCTGGCACATTTTAGTTAGGTCCTCACAGAGGCTGTGAGGCTTCCAGGGCTATAGGTCCTGGCTGGGGAGCCCAGCGAGCGGGACATGGGGAAAAGTAAGTACAGCTCGTGGCATGAGAGTCTCCATTTTCATGGTGATAGTTTCCTTTGCTTTGTTAGAAGGATGTGTGATGGAACTCCTTACTAGCCAGGGTCCTAGTGTCTGCCACCTGGGTGTCAGGCAGGGAATTAATGGGAACAGCTCTGTATTGGCTTAGCCAACGTGTCTCCTACCAGCAGGAGGCCATTTCAGGACAGAACCTTCCCAGTTGGGGATGAACAAGTTCACAGAAACCACCCTGTGGCCACAGGGGTTTGTGCCAGGACACCTACCTGAATTTGAGTGTGTCCTGGTTGTGTTCTAAGTGGGAACTGTACACAAAGCTAGGACCTCTGGTTCCAGAAGCAACTGAGGGCTGCATGTGCACAAGTGGAAGCTCGAGGCAGCGCTGTCACCTAGGTGGTGACATGAGGACTGGGTTGTGACTTGTTCCAAGGTCTCTGTTGCCTGCAAGGGGACCTTGCAGACTTGGGTAGCCTTCTAGCTGAGGCTACCCACAGTGCAACATGACCTTGGGCTTGCGGCTGCAGGAGAGGGCTGGGAGCTCAGTGCTGGCAGGGGTCCAGCAGCAGGAATTGGACAGGCCTCAGTCCACAGGGTCTTGGGTAGAGGGCTACCACCACCACCCATGAATGACTGCGGGGTGTTGGGTCAACATGCTGGGCATTGTAGTGAGCCTTTTAATTTGCTTTCTAAGGGGATTGATCCATTTCAGTTCTGATTGCTGAAGACCAGATGGTCTGAAGCAAGCTTGGAAGCAGGTTTCTGTGGTTTGTAGCCTCTCAGCCTCCCTTCCTGCAGTGCTTCCTCAGTGTCAGGACATCCCTGTCCCGTGTCTGTGAAGGCTCAGGCCTCTCCTGGGTGCCCGCATCCCATCTGCCCCAGCTGGGGTCATGCACTGTGTGTGCAAGGCTATCCAGGGCATGGGGTTCTTTTAGACAATTCAGAAAGAAGGTGATGATCAAGCCCTGTTGGGAGTGAGCAGACTCCCCACGGTCAGGAGCCACAGAGCCTCCCGTGCTGTGCTCTGTTCTGGGATAGTGAAGAGAATGTACTTCCTCAGGGTCATAGTGACCCTGGTGGTGCCTAGCCACAGAACCTGAGGTCCTAGAGTACTGGGAGACATTCTTGTTCTCTGGACTTCACTGGCACCAGGCCACCTAGAGAGAACATTTGTTTTCTGCTCTGGGCGTTGCTATGAAACGGCTTCTCTGAACTGGGACTATTTAATTTGATTCTGAGGTTCTGCCTTGAAGAAAATTCAAGTGTGAGCCAAACGCAGCACACACAGCGCTCTGGTTGCTGTTGTGGGAGGGACTGCAGCAGAGGCGGGAGGGAGTGCAGCAAAGGAGGCAAGCACTGCGAGGGGCTCTGTCCAGCCCTATTCACCATGTGGCCTGGCCCTGTATGCTAACCACGTGGCAGGTGCCCAGCCATTCTGTCTGCATGTGCAAATGCTGAATGCATAGACGTCTAATTGCCAGAAGGTGTAGCCTCTAGAGTCCTGGGCTGTGGGCAACAGTCCCCTCCTTGTGCCTGTTCGAGGAAGCAGTGTCAGGGCATCTCCAGGCCAGGCGCCTATCCACATTGAACCCCCTTGTCCCAGATATTCTCTAACAGGCCCTGGTTAGGTCCCAAACCCAGAATCCACTCTCAAGTGTGTAGACTTTCATCACTTGGAGTTCCGCTGCTTGAGCAGGTTCCCTGGACATTCTTCCTTTGTAAATCAGAGTGGTAACATGTCCTTTCCTGGTCCAGGTTAATCCTTGCTGTGAAGTGTCATGGTCATTTCATGATGCCAGCCTTTGGCTGTAACAGCACGAGGGCTGGACAGAAGCCACTAGCATGTGCTGCCACTGGATCTGGGGTCAAAATGACCCAAGGTACTGTGATGCAGACAGCTAGTCCCATGCCCTGGGGACCCTGCAAGACTCTGGCCACTAGGCATTCAGGCCAAGTCCCAGCTGGTGCTCCTGCAGGTCTTGGAATCATCTGTCTCATCTGAGGCCTTGGGGCTGGGCCCACTGAACTTGGCTTCTAAGCTGGGTCCTGAGTTAAGGCATGCTACCCTGCTGCTGGCTGTCTCCAGGTGCAGGACGAGAGATTAGCTTTCTGGACAGTCTCGGTCCCTCTTGCCCCTGCCTCAGCAGATTAGCTAAGTGACGGCTGGATTTTAATACTATGTTGCATTCTCTCCTAGTGTCCGAGATGTATGCAATGTGATGCCAAGTTTGACTTTATCACGAGAAAGGTGAGCTGAGGCCATCCAGTGGGTGGTGGTAGGTGCATTCACCAGGCAGGCACCCAGTGTGGGACAGTAAGCCTCTTTCTGGGAGGGGATGATACTGTAGGATCCTTTGGATTCAAGTGATGCCTTGTTCTGGTGGGTCCTGATGCGTCACATGCTGCTTCTGCACTGCTGGGGCTCCTGCAGGGACAGGCCCCACAGGCTGCCCTCAGGAGCACCCTTCCTGCCTCGGCAGCACACAAGAAGGGTGTCCTGGGCAGCAAGATTTGAAAGTTGGAAAGTGGCCTTTTTGATTAGTTTTTAAAAAGACCCAAGCTAAGCAGAGCCTGTGAGGAAGACCCTTGTTGGGCTCCCACAGAAGTGGCACAGAGCCTCAGGTGCAGGGCAGGCTCAGGACACAGGTGCTCACTGCCTGCCTCTGCCGCTAGCACCACTGCCGCCGCTGCGGGAAGTGCTTCTGTGACAGGTGCTGCAGCCAGAAGGTGCCACTGCGACGCATGTGCTTTGTGGACCCTGTGCGGCAGTGCGCGGAGTGCGCCCTCGTGTCCCACCGCGAGGCAGAGTTCTATGACAGGCAGCTCAAGGTGCTCCTGAGTGGTAAGCACAGCGGGCAGGCGCCCCTCACTCCACCTCTGTCTCGCCCTCTGGATTCGTTTAGGAGCAGTCCTAGAGCCTGCTCTGCTCTTTAGAGGTGGAAATGTCTACAGTGTGGTTCTGACTTCCCTGGGCATAGCCTTCAGGTGGCTGTCATTTGTGACTGTGGCCCTCAGAGAAGTGGTCCAGAGACAGCAGCCTCAGCAGGTGCAGCCCTGGCTCTGAGGCTGTCCTGGGATGAGGTGGGAGAACCCCAGGGGCCGTGTCTGCCTCAGAGCCTCTGGGGCATGAGCAGTCCGCCTGGCCACAGGCCTACTGCTGCTCTGGTCTGGGCCTTGTGTCCTTTCCTTAAAGGATGTTTAAAAAAAAAAAAAAAAAAAATACCAGGTGCTCTACAGGCAGCAAGACCGATTCCCTGTTTGATTTCTTGGCCTCCACTTGGCCTCCACTCACTGCTGCCTTTTGCTCCATGGGGCTTACCCTGCCTCCGCTTGTCTCTGTGGGAGGCGAGGGTGAGCGTGTGCAGCCTGGGGAGGGCAAGTGGAAGCAGCACATGGAATTTGCTCATTTGGTTTTTGTCTCCCAAGGAGCCACCTTCACTGTGACTTTTGGAAACTCAGAAAAATCTGAAACCATGGTTTGTCGTCTTTCCAACAACCAGAGGTAAGAGCCAGAACCCCACTTGGTGCTGGATGGTGCTGTCACATGTTGTGGGCCTCAGTCATGTAGTTGGAACCCTTTTGTTTGGGTAGATGCTTGATTCTGGACGGGGACAGCCATTGTGAAATTGAGGTCGCACACATCTCCACTGTGCAGGTTCTCACGGAAGGCTTTGCTCCTGGAGGTATGTGCTTGGTGGCCTTCCTGAGCAGGAGGGTATGGTCACATGAGGGGGACAGCAGGCATGAGCATTTGGGCCCAAGAGGCCTGCCTTTCTCTTCTGTGAGGCTTGTCTTCAGTCAGTGGATTTAGAATGTGCCAGGTGAGCAGGGACTTAAAACCTTAAGATAAAGGAGGAAGCTCTGCATGCCTGTCTCGATGGTGTCCCACTGTGTAGATCGCCCCACTCACTATTGGACAGTGCTCCTAGTGCTATAACTGGTGGAGTGGCGGCTGGCAGAAAAGTGGCACTCGCTCCCACTGCCTCCTCCTGAGGTGGTTGACCTGCATGTGTCCCTGTTCCAAACCTGAAGATGGTGTTGAAGAAACCACCTGACCTAACCTCTTGCTCTCCGTTTTCTGAGTGGCTCTTGATTGTTCTTCTCTCCACTGCCTGCCTACCTTCTTGACGTAGAAAAAGACACACACACTTACAGCGTCCTGGAGAGCCAGCCCGCCTCCAAAGGTCAGCCTCGTTTTCTGTTGGCCACTCCCTCCAGCATGCAATGGGCCCTGTTTCTCCTCTGGCCACTTTGCTTCTGTCTGGGGTGGATGGTTCATGCCAAGGTTCCTTGTAAAACTCACTTCTTTTGGCTGATTTGTGTTAAACAGTGGGCCCAGTACATGGGTCTACAGAGTATAAATGAAAATGTCCCAGAAGAAAATATATTTGCTTAGTTCTTCTATTTCAGGGAAGAAGCATTACCACATAGTTGCTGGCTTTTTGTCAGTGTCTGCCAGCCCTGAGCAGCTGAGGAAGCCCAGAGGCACTGGGCCTGTGGAGAGGGCAGCAGCTTGCCACCCTGTGGCCTGGCTAGCTGTGCCCACTGTGACTTTCTGGCTCTTAGCACCTTTGTTTCAGCCCCTGAAGCAGCACTGAGTATATCAGGCCTATGCTGTTCTACCTGTGTTCCCTGAATGTAGGGACACACATGAGGCAGCGAGCTGGCTGAAGAAACCCTGGTGCCAAGGGCAGTACTTGGATAAGCTAGGGTCAGCCCCCATGACCCTGCTGCCTGCCTTCACCTAGGGAGCCCAAGGCCAGGAATACAATTCACCACAACCCCTCCCAAGGCCATGGGGAAGGTGGCCAGGACAGGGATGGCCTCTGGCAGGTCCTGTGAGTGTAGGTAGACTTTCTGCTGGGCAGGTCATAGGACTACTGGCACCACATGTCCTCAGAAGGTTTTGGGAGTAGTGACCCCTGTACTGCCCAGCATTTTCTTAGATCCCTTCCTTAAAGTCCTATAACCCTTCTTCCTGTGGAGGGTGGGAGTAGGGATAGTGTGAACCACTTCTTGAGCTGCAGCAGCCTGAGGAGCTGCCCAGCAGCCTGGGCTATTAGAGCAGCATGACACTTGTTCTTTTGAGAGCCAGAAAGGAAGGGTTTTCTGGTCAAAGGGCAAAAACCTCATAGACAACAGGGGCCCATGGCCATGTTCCAGTATTTACAGGTGGTGGGCAGAGCCAAGGTCTGCCTGCTGCGAAGTCTCGGGGGGGCAGCTCAGCCTGAGATCTTCGGCAGGAGCCTTGGGCTTGTGCAGGAGCAGCTCAGGAAGCTCTGGACACAGTTCTGCAGCGGACACGGTGCTCTTGTGTTGGTCAGGCCCCTTCCTAAAGACCACCGGCCTTACAGTCAGTGCACTCACCTGCTAACCAGTGGGAATCAGCTGTGACTGATCTCCATGGTGACTCATCGTGAATGTGGGGCTTCCTCCTGTCACCAGGTAGAAGGCTACAGGTGCAGCTGCACAGGGGCCCTGTGAGACCTGTGGTCCTTTCTCCAGTGCTTTGTTTGTTGAGCAGGTGCTAGAGTCAAGTCACAGTGTCTGGGGCAGCTGATCACAGCCCAGGAACGGGAGACTGGGTCTTTGCCACCCAGCTCCCAAACCAGACCTTGATGGCCTCCCATCAGGTCTGAGGGAGCAGCACGTGATAGGATGGTGTGGCGTCTCTCTGACATCAACGGTCTGCTCAGCTGAGGTCCTGGTCTCAGTAGAGGATGGCGGTAGCCTCTGACCTCTAGGTATGAAACCAGCTATGAAGTGACTGTCCAGTTGGCCTGTCTGATGACCAGTGCTCTTGAGATGGCTTCAGCACTCCTGCAGCCCTGGCTGTGGACAGGTATTATCTGGGAGTTCTCTGGAGGCAGGAACGGGCTCCATGGGACTCAGGAGGTGCAGCAGTTTCTGGATTTTCCAAGAACAGTTTTCTTGGTGATGCAGCTCCACGAGTTTGTCCCTGGAGGCACCAGACCAGGTTGAACTTGTGTTCTCCACAGAGACAGGGGCTCTCATCACCGCATGGTCCCAACAGGGCTGCTTCCTGAGTAGCACAGGGTGGGTCAGCACTGGCCACCATTTCATCAGGGCCCCTTTTGGCCACCTCACATCGTCCCCTTCTTCCAGGAGGTAATGCTCGGGCCACAGGCATGTTCCTGCAGTACACGGTGCCAGGTACAGAGGGCGAGGCCCAGCTGAAGCTGACCGCAGGGGAGGATGCAAATACCAGCAGGAGGCAGGCAACAGCATGGCTGGTAGCCATGCATAAGGTACCATGGGTGTGGGCGGACGGCTTATGGGCTCAGAGGAGAGCCGGCTTTTCCCAGAGAAGGACCTGCCAAAGCAGTGCCTTTGGAAGACACAGGGCTTGGCGCAGCTGGGTGCGGGGCTGGGTGTGCTTTCTGGTGTTTATTTTTGATCACCCTGCAGGCCGCCAAGCTCCTCTATGAATCTCGGGACCAGTGACCGTGAGCTGAAGGAGTGCAACTGTCACCAGGGCTAAGCCACTTGCCCCTGGCCAGGCACCACAGGGCTTCACCCTGCTATGTTGAGAAATACAATCCACCTATTTAGAGCAGCAAAGTGTTCACTTACCTAGTGCCGTATGCACGCAGCTCAGTTAATGCTTCACACAGCTGCGCGTCAGAGTCTTGGAGGCTGAGCTATTACTGCTGAGCTAATTTTAGCATAACCTGTATGACGTGTCCAGGCCCATCAGTGCTCACTTCACTAGTTCTCCCACAGAAACAAAGTGAGTGGTGGTAACTTTGGCCTCTAGTTTGCACTGGAGCCTGTCCGTTTCCAGTAGCCAATTTACAATGTTGCCTTAGCCTGTTTATAGACTCTCCATTGACCTTGTCACTAATTTGGGGCGATGAACAATCCTTTGATACTTCATAAAGCAGACAGCATCAGCCTTCTTTTCTACTTTTCACTTACTCTTTCATCTTATTAAAATGACTGTACAGCAATCTGTATATAAAGCATATGATTAAAACCTATTTTGGAAGTACAGAGCAGGCTCTGGTCTTACTGTGTCCCTCTAACCTGAGTGTGTGGCTTAGCTCAATCCTGCCTCCAGAACACAAGACACAGCTGGGTGTGAGACAGCAGTTTATTGTGCACATTTACACAGCGTCAGCAGTGTCGGGGACAGAAGAGCTGCTCCCAGTGGTGTCACTCAGTGCCACACCCTGTGCAGTCAGCCATCAACTGCAGCTCTGCCTCTGAGTCCATACACATATTTACACACAGATCATACACAAGATGCACATGGAAAATAAAGCCTAAGGGCCTGTGTGTTAATGAGAAAGAACATTTCCAACATAGTTCTGGTAGTTTTGAATGGTCTAGTTGAAAAATAATCTTGGTGTATAAAAAGCCTGTCCACACAATTCAGGTTCCAGTTCAGGGTCTGCCTTGTGTGGAACCAGGGATCAGGGCCAGCACTGCTGCCTTCCAGCTGGCTTTGTCTGGACTGGTCCCTGCCCTGCTGCTGCCTCAGAGGCCTTGACCTGTCCTTGCCCAGACTTGTGTCTGACTATACTCAGAACAAAAACAGATTCAAGGTGTGCAGCCAGAGGCTGTAGGAATCCGAACCATGTGTGCCCAGAAATGGAAGTCCAGCCCCAGCAAAGGGCCAGCAAGAAGCTGGACACTCCACTCATCTGTGCAGAAAGACCCCTGGGGATATCCACAGGGGCAACCACAGGACAGTATGCCCACAGCGGCTCCTTTGGTAGTAAAAGGAACAACTGTGGGGAGGTAAGGAAGGGTGGGTTCTGGGGCTCTCAGAGGTGGGCTGCAGTGGGGGCATCTGGCAGCAGCTTGGTTTCACGGTGGGGGTACAAGAGGTGGCCTCAGGGCCAGGTCAGAGCTCAATCTTCACTGGCAACCAACAGGGGTCCTAATAATTACAGGGCTTCTTATTGGCAACAGGGGTGGGAGTTCTGAAAGCTGGGTGTTTATTTGGATTTACAGTAATTGGCAAAACTCGGTCCTCTTGGAAGCAAAAGTACCTCTCCCAGCTGCGGTGGACTGGAGAAGGCCTCACCTGGGAAGTGCAGGAATTCACATTATGGGTGGTGTCTGCTAAAGTGAGCACCATGAGGCCATCCTAGCGTCAGCTTTCCCCGGACAGCTGATCCTCTCCAGCAGCTCCTGGGAGCCAGCAAGACTGTGGTGCTCCAGGGGGAAGCTTAGGCAAGTGTTCGCTGCCGGGGCTTGATCCGTGGATACAACTGGGAAGAAATGGACATGGCTGGGGTGACCAGGAACTGGCCTCCAGGGGCCTTTCACATCTGCCTCTGCATGCCCCCGGAAGGCTTGTCCTCCTTGGCCCAAACACAGCTACCCCTCTCCTCTGAGACTCTCCCAAACTACTATTTCAAAGGATCCCACCCCAGAGTGATCTGTTCCTATCTTTCTGGCAGCACTTCATGCCACCCTAAAATGCATCACTGTCCACTAGGCCGTTGACAGCATAAGCTCCCTCAGGGCAGGCATCTGCCAGTGGATGAGGAACACCTGACAGTTCTGTCACAGCACATGGGAGAAGCAAGCAGGGTGGCCCTCTGCCATGAAGGAGACAGCTGGCAACCTACAGAATCTGCCCCAGCCCGCCACCTGTCAAGATGGGGAAGGTCTAGGTGGGTGGCCTAGCTGCTTGCCAAAGTGTGCCATGAGCAGAGCACACTGGGCAGCAGCTGGCCAGTGCTCCTGGCCTCCACATGGCCCAGCTGCTCCAGGGGTGGGTGCAGGCCAGTCACCTCCAAGAGCTCTGCCTGAATCCCAGCACCTCAACTCTGCAGAGCAGGGGCTTGCCCATGTGCAGAGCAGGCTGCTGAGGCTTTAAGAAAGGTGCCCCCCCCCCCCCCCCGGTCCCCAATAGAACCAGAACCCAGGCCAAGAGGGGGATCCTGTGACTTTGGCCAAGTACACAAAACCAGCTGACTTTCCAACATAACCTTCTAGCATACCACATGCTTACCCCCAGCAGGTTTTTGGGCACATAGCCCTCCCGGTCCCCGAGCCGAGCCCACCACCAGTCCGTCTCGCTTTCGTCCTTGCGCCTCAGGATGGTGATGGCATCGCCTTCGTGGAAGGACAGCTCGTCGCTGTTCTGGGCCTCGTAGTCCCACAGGGCGTAGACTGCACCTTTGTTCATCACTCCCAGCTTCTCCTGTACCCCTGGGACCAGAAAGCCACAGTAAGGCCTCAGCAAGGGCAGTCCAGAGAAAGCAGCCCACCAAGGAACAAGGCGACACTCTGCTGCTCAAGGTGGCTCACATGGGCTGCAGGCCAGTGAGGTTAGAAACAGGGTCATTCCACCTGACACTTCCCAGGCCTAGCTGAGCCCTTCAGCTTACTGCACACAACCCTCTCTCCATCCCTGCAAGATAGTACACTTGTCCCTCTGTGTCCATGAGGTGTGGTTCCAGAAACCCTGCAGATACAGAGATCCTCAGGTGCTCGAGTCCTTCTTGCCAAAATGGCAGTGGTGTCCACATATAACCTACATGTGTCCTTGTGTACATCATCTCTAGATTACTTACTATACCTGAGGCAAGGTAAGTGGGTTTAGAGAATAATGACAAGGAAAGGGAATCTATACATTCAGTGCAGATGTCACTGTTTTTCAGATATTTTCTTTCTCTTTTTTTATACTGGGGACTAAACCCAGGAGCACTTTGTCACTGAACTACTTCCCCAGTCCTTTTTATTTTAAAATTTTGAGATAGGACCTTGCTAAGTTGCTATCTTCCTGTCTCAGTTTCCTGAGCTGCTGGGATTACAAACATGTGCCACCATGCCTGGCTTTTCAGATTTCGATCCATGGTATAGGTTGAAGCCAGATGTGGAACTCCTGGATATGAAGTTCTACTGAAATGCTGGTTCCAGAGGTAGAGGTACGTTGTTCTAAAGGGCATTTTTTAAGATAAAACTTAGAACAAACTTTCAGAAGTTGGTGGCTAAGCAGCAGCAACTGCTCACGACCCTGTGCCGTGGCTGCAGAGTGAATGCATGGCCAAGCACTACATGGAGTGCCCCGAGAAAGGGTCTTCTGTGGGACATTTCATTTCTAGAGGCAGCAGAGTCACACTGGGGAGCCATCTTCCCTCAGTAAGTGCTGCTGTGATGGCAGCCTCTGTGCTTGCTGAGTCCCACAACACTGTAGGAACCTGTCGGCCGGCTCTATGTCACTCTCCCAGGGCCTACCACAGGGCTTGGCATATATAGAATGAATGCCTGTAACTGCCTAACCCTTGGAACAGAGAAAACATCCAAGCTCTGGGGAAACCTGACCCCACTGGCTACGACAGCTTGATCAGGGGAAGAGCTTCACCCATCAAATGGTTCAGGGGATAAGTGGCCAACCCCAGGCCAGCACAGGGATGGAGTGGCCCCACTGCAAGTGCTGGTGTATCACAGCAGCCAGTGAACAGATGAGTGCTGCCCAGCCATCCACACACCCAGCCCCTGTGCCCCAAGGGGAACCTCTGTGCAAAGCACAGTGAGGTCACTTTTACTTTTTAGCAACAGCACAGAATCCCTCTGACAATGTGGATATTCAAATGTGTTTGCAGGAGTGAGTGGGCAGCGTACCCAGTTTCAAAGACCAGGAGCACTCAAGCACACTCTCTGGCCATTGGGATTACTGTGGCAGCACCTCTGCACACGATGCTGCCCTGCCCGGGTGAAGAAGCCAAGATGCACCAGACACCCTACATACCATACAGAAACTGGGAACACTGGATGTAGCCTTCCTCCATCTCCTCACACTTGTCTGCAGCAGTCTCGATGTCACTGATGGTTGAGGCAAAGATGGCAGCTCCACTCTCCACCAGCTGCTTGCAGAGGTGCACGCTGTTGCAAGAGGCTGCGCAGTGTAGTGGTGTCCTAGAACCAGAGGGGCGAGGGTGTGGGTCTGGTGCTGTCCAGGGCTACCTGGCTCCTGTGTGATGCGACCCTCAAAGGAATCCTTACAAAGGTGCCATGCCTTCGTACTGGGCAAGTTTCTCCATGTGTTTTTAAAGATCTGACCTCCACTGATGGATTGTGGACCATATATCAATTTTATTTTTTGATATTTTTCTTTTTTTTTTTTGGTATCAGGGATTGAACTCAGGGGCACTTAACCATTGACCCCCATCCCCAGCCCTTTTTTGTATTTTATTTAGAGACAGAGTCACATTGAATTGCTTAGCGCCTCGCTGCTGTTGAGGTTGGCTTTGAATTCACGATCCTCCTGCTTCAGCCTCCCAAGCTGTTGGGATTATAGGAGTGTGCCACCATGCCTGGCCACATATCAGTTTTTGAGAAGGGGACAGGCAGAGAACAGTTTAAGGAATGGCTTATAAATATGCTCACTGCACAGAAATGTCAATGCACTTAACATGCTGAGTGGACCTTTACAAACGGCTAAGATGGCAAATCTTATGTGTATTTTATAATAATTTTTTTTTAAAAAAAAAAAAAAAAAAAGATAAACAGCACAGTGAAAGCTATAAGTTCAAAATACCCGCAGTGAGACCACAGGCCCTGCCCTGCACAGCAGCCGAGTCCTGATCCTGAAGGCAAATGGAAACAAGAACACATACACCTAAACCAATAACAAAGGGGGCTTTCTGGATTTACTGTTCACATATTCATACATGTGAATTCGTATTTCATACAAAATGTCTGAATAAAGGAAGAGTGAATAATTAGGAGAAAGATATGCAACAAAATGCTGGCAACAGCTGTCTTTCGGGGAATGAACGGATGGGTATTCTTGCCATACATACTTCCCAATTTTCTTTTTTTTTAATTATTTTTTTTTAATATTTATTTTTGGTTTTCAGTGGACACAACATCTTTATTTTTTTATGTGGTGCTGAGGATCGAACCCAGCGCCCCCAGCACCCCACGCATGCCAGGCGAGCGCGCTACCGATTGAGCCACATCCCCAGCCCCCCCAATTTTCTTGACCATGCGCTTTTTCCTTTTGTAAGATAGGAGAAAGTGAGCCTCAACCTAACCCGTTGGGGGCCCTCACCATCCATCACTATCAGCAGCATTCACATTGACCCCGAAGTCCAGCAGGAACTTCACAATATGATGGTGACCGGCACACACCGCGTTGTGTAGTGGGGTGATCCCTTCATCATTGGGCTTGCTGGGGTCCTCCACCTAGGACAAGGACATGGGACACATTAGAGCCAGTCCTCCATCCCCTGCAGCACCCATGGGGTGGGTATGGCTCACCTCATAGATTATCCTCTGCACCAGATCAAACTCTCCTTCCAGAGAAGCATCTAGCAGCAGTGCCAGGGGGTTGAAGCGTACTCTCAGCCCATGCCCTGTCCGCTCGGAGTTGGGCTTCTTCAGGTTGGTCCGCTTGCTCTGTGGAAAGGAAGCATGCTTTCAATGACCTATGAAGGGAGGGCTAGTCCAAGACCTAAACCCATAGGAAGGAACAGCAGGAACTAAACCCTAAGGCAGTGGCTCTCCAAGAGAGCCCAGGGGCTACCTGAGGAGGGCAGTGGCATGGGCCTGAGCTCCTGGCTATTCTCACAGAGGGCAATGGCTGGTGTGAGTTGTTAGCCTACTTTTTTGGAAGACCCTGTGGGAAGGAATGGGGTCTATCACAGCCAACTGCTAGGCAGATGCAGCTCCCAGGGAGCTGGCAGCTCATCCTTAGGGACACCTAACATGGCTGTCAGCAGTAGCACTGAGATTGCAGGTGAAAGGACTACTGGATCCTGAGAGGACACCCAGCTGCTCTCTGGTCCACCAAAATTGACTCACCCAGGGGCCTCTGTCCAGAAGGTTCTTCCCTCCTTCTGCCCATTTCCCAGGTCCCAAAGGCAGCCTCCAAGGAGCACTGTGCACCCCTCCTTTGGGCCCCTTGGTCTCTCCTTACCCCGACAGCCCTCTCAGACCTAATTGTGGGTGGCAGGGACACGCCTGACCCCTAATAAGGTGAGTGCTGAGGGGAGTCCTGCGTTCGTCTCACAAGGACACCCACCACTGAGGCTGCCAGTGGGTGGATGGCAGGGGGAAGAGGTGCTGGAGGGACTTGTTCTTCTCCCGGAGATGGGGCTTCAGCCACAGGGCTTGGGATCTGTTCTGTGGAGGGGACTGGGGCCACATTGTTGTTGTTATCCTCTGCGGGCTCAGCAGTTTGGTGGGTGGTTTGGGGATGGATGAGTTCCTCAGGTTCAGGGGAAGGTAGCTCATTATCGTTGGCATCTGAGGATGGGGCAGGCTCCTCAGGGAGTGGGGCTGTGGGCTGGGCAGAAGTAGACTCATCCAGGTTGCCGTTGGTGTTGGTGTTTCCATTGTCCACGTCAGCCAAGGTGCCCACAAAGTCCTGTGAGGGGCTGGGCTGGTAGAAAGGGGTGCCCTCCATGCCACCAGCCAGGGTGTTGAAGCGCTGGTACAGCAGCTTTTGGATGTTGGGTCCACTGGGGCCCTCTGGCTCTGTGATGGAGCTGCGCTTCTTCAGGGGCCGGGGTGCATTGGCCAGCTTCCTGCGCAGGGCCTCCAGGTCCGCATCACTCTGGTAGCGCAGCGGTGAGTGCACGATGGGTGTGAGTTTGGTGGGGCTGAGTGGCCGCGGCAGGCTCTCCACTGAGCTTCCCTCTCCAGGTGCAGCAGGGCCCTCCTGCTCTGGCTCTTTCTCAGCACATTCTGAAGATGGCTGAGGCTGTGAGGTGCTTATGCCCAGTGACCCATGAAGAAAGGGTAAGGGCGATGGAGATGTTGACCCGGATGGTAGGACAGGCTTGCCATACACTGGAAGAGAGAGGATAGGGCACAATTTCAACTTGGCTGCTGGGTCTTGGGGCTAGTCCCTAAGCACCTACTCCATCAGAGATGGGTTCCTACTGCTGTTGAGGATTCTGATTTTAAACCCCGTAGAAATCTTCTCTTACAAGAACCTCCTCTGGCTCCTTCTGCAAGGTGAATCTCTCTCCAGTGTAGTGGCTTTTATATTGAGGTTCCTAGAAGTGGGTTTTTTCAAAGGCAAAAAAGGTTGCTGATCTGACTCGCTGCCTTCAACAAGGCAAGGGAAAGAATAAAGTTGCTACACTCATGTGTGAGCCTTAGACAAGACAACATGAGGACACTGGCTCCGGGAGCAGGAAGGTGGGACCTGGCAGCCTAGGAGCTTCCCCAGGAGCCAGAATCCTGCCCACTGGTAACACTGTATGTCACCTGGGAGGTCCTGGGCACACCTGGGAACCCAAGAACTATAAGTCTGCACACTGCAGTCAGAGCCTGAGAACACCTGAGGCAGCCCAACCCAGATCTGGCCCAAAGGACCCTCTTGCGAGGGTCAGAGGCACTATCAGCTCAGGGTGTATGGCACTGAACTACATTCTTTCATTTGCTTTCCTAGAAGGGCCTCACCCATCCCCACAGCTTTTCTCCCCCATGGGCTGGGGGGACTCCAAAGAAGTAACACCCTCCTCAACTCACCCACTCCCAGGTCTGGCTTAGTCACAGAGAGGAAGCCCAGAAGGCATTGGTCAAGGCTTACCCCTGGCCTCTGCTCACCAGATAGCTTCTAGCACAAGTTTCCATAAAGCAGGAGGAAAAACAAAATTCCTAGAATCTCACCCTTCTAGAAGCTGGATTTTCACGTAGTGTGGGAGGGTGGTCAGAAAGGTAGTCAGAGCAGCAAAGTGCCCACTCATCCACCCGAAACCCACGGAGAGATGTATGTAAGAAATGTAAGCTTTTGCTTTAACCTAAACAGCAAGTGGCTCCAATGTCAGTCTGTACTTTCTTAATTAGAGTATAACTTCCTAGCCCCCCAAGGAGGGGATAAACTCACCATACCTGCTTTAACTGACTTGTTTAAGGTGCCGTGCACTGCTGGTTGGTAATTCTTAGGTGGTGTGGCTTGTTGGAGGTACACAGAGTATATGGAACTTGAATTCACGGTCTGGGGTCCTTTCCTGGGAGATTGTGGCCTTGATCCTTTATCAGCCAGGAAGGGCCTAATGGCCACCGTCAGTGGGAGTTCGGGTTTACCATCTCCAGCTGGAAATGCAGGGGGCCCTGCTGGCGGGTATGTGGGACTTGGAGGCACAGAAATCCTCTGCTGGATCTGCTGCGAGGAGCCTGGCTGTGGGACACTGGCTGTAGGGGGCAGCGGGGCAGGCTTCGGCCGGCTGGGTGGGCCTGCACTGGGTCTGGGTGAGCTGCCTTCTTTCCTCCTCTCCAGGGAACTTGCTGATCCTGGGCCCAGGGGTGCAGGACTTGGGTATGTTCCATAGCTTGGAGGCAGCGGCTTGCCTGCACCAGGGATGGGAGGTGGTCCTTTACCAATATCCACACCCTAAATTTAGGTGTTGAGAAGAAAAACAAAGTCACCCTTTGAAAAGTGAAGCACATTTATACCCATACTTGCAAAAGAATACACAGTAGGATCTGCAATCCTTCAAATCAGCTTGTGATTATGACACAGGGAACACTGTTGGGCTCATCATTTGCAAAACTGAGGCAAAAGTCATGTGCACTTGTGTTCTGTCTGCACAGGCCCTAAAGGTGCAGTGACTCTAGGATTCTGGGGGTAATGTGGATTAATTTGCCTCAAATCCTGAGTATGACTAAGGCAGAAGGGGCTGGTCCTTAAACTCCTAGTACAGATGGCCTACCATCTTCTCTGTGGCTCCCAGTGCAGACAAGGGCAGAGGCTGGCTTGAGATTGCACCCTGCTTTAGAGCCCCCTCCACGCCTGGGTCCTTCCAATCCACAGTGGCCATCTGCGCCGGCTTCATCGAAGAGCCAGAATTCTGCTTTAATGTTGGCCAGCTTCCATCATTAGCTTGAAAAGAGCACAGAATTTAAGTGAAATTTTTCTTGATATTAGTTGAACCAACCCAAAAGTACACCCTGCCAGAAATAAAAATAGCACTGGGACTTCACATTCTGAGGGAGCTCTGTTAACCAAGTGGACAACCACCATCTGGCACATGGAGCTATTGATCTGCACAGACCCCCACAGTCCTGTGAACAAGCCCAGGGGCATCCTCTGTGGGTAACTCCTGGCCAGTGTGGCCAGCAAGGCCAGCAACTCAAAGACCACGCTAAGGTTGGTATAGGACAGGTTACACCCACTGTAGTACAGGTCAAGTCCATTAAACCTACAGAATAAAGCAAGCACCAGCACTTAGCTTTTGAACACTGTTTATAAATACAATTGCATTCAGCAATAAAAAAGGGATCTTTTTTTTAATTCTTAAAGATTTATCTTTTGATTTCCTAACAGGTTTGACCTGTACTACTAGCATGACTAATCAAGTTTCTCCTTTAGTGAGGAAGTCTTTTCTGCTAAAATAATTTGCAATCACAAGAGGCCAGCACAGTTCCCACTGATGTGCTGCAGTGATTAGAAAGCCGTCATCATCCCCAAGTTTCCAGGAAAGCCACTGAAAAGATTTATGTTTTTATAGAGCATTTTCCAAACTGAAAAAGGGTGCAGAGGTGCTCCCTAGTCATGTGGGGCCACACACCATATGACCTGTGTGTCACGGCATCTATGGATCACAGATGTGTACCCTGAGTGGGCACCTGCTTTGCTTCAACAGGCAAGGTGCTGAGCTGCTCTGACGCGGAGACTGCTCTAGCCACCAGCAGTTTGGGATGGGCAGAAATCAGCATAAGTAGGAGGGGTAACTAAGAAGCACAGGGCAACCATTTGTCTTCATGCCCAAAATGAGCCAAAACATGAAGAGTAAGCTTCCCAAATGTGCTCTGGCACAGTCTGAGTGCAGCAAGCCACACACAGGCTGCTCTGGAGCCAGCCTGACCCACAGTGGTGCTGCTGAATGATTCCTACAGGGCTGAGGGCACCAGCCAAGCCACCAGGCCCCAGCCAGCATCTGGGCCAGCACAAGCTGTCAGCCTCCTGTAGACCACACATGCATGTGCCTCCATCCTCTCAGTGTCCTCTGAGAGGAGCATTCTGTGCTGGCGGGGAAAAGCAGAGCCCACTTGAGACCCTGTGAGACAAGCAGAAGGGGCAGGTGCCAGCCAAGGGACCTGGATTTCTATCCTTTCAGGGTCAGAGGGCACGTGGACGTTCAGTGGCTTCTGAAAGCCCACAGCAATGGAAGTTTTTATGAAATTATGAAGTAATCTCCTTTCCTGAGGACAGAGCTGGAGGCACAAAAGGCCAGATGCTGCTTCTTATTACTGTAATACTTTTCATTGTGATGGGAGATTCTTGCACTGAACATAAAACTGAAAGACTCATCATGAACTCAAAATCATATTAACTTATTTTTTTGGGGGGTGGTGCTGGGGATTGAACCCAGGGCCTTGTGCACACTCTACCAACTCAGTGATATCCCCTGTCCTCATATTAACTTTTGAAAAAGAAGCAAACAAACACTCCCCATAACCAAAACCCTGTGTGGCAGGGCCTATAACTTGGTGTTCAACTCTCCCGGCCGTTGATTGGGCCTGGGGCCTAACTCCACACCTGCCTGGGAAGAGACACCTATTTGCACAGTGCTGTTTCCATGTCCAGATGTGATGAACATGGAGCCAGCCTGACCCACAGTCGTGCCCGTTGTCAGTTTGGAAAAACAAATGATTGTTGATTCAGTCTGTGTGAAAGGAGATCAAAAGCACCCCGCTAAGCCCGTCAGCCCACATACGCTTTACGAGTGGGCTTGCAGAGTGCCCCAAGGAGCTGCAGTCAAGCCTGACGTCCAGGTCTGACACTGTCCACGCGCTGGTCACTCTGGATCTACTGTGGCCATCTGTGTGACACAGAACCAGGACAGCCAACAGCAAGGGGTTAGAGTCCCCACACGGAGATTTCATGTCCCAGCTCCATGTGTGAAGTTCTGCCCCCAGCTTGGGTGGACTCAGGTTTCCTGGGTCCAGTCGCTTTACACCACAGTGGAAGGACTGAGGCCAGGGATCTGTAAGGCCATCTTCTTCCAGCAAGCTGGTAAGGCAGCACAACACAGAGAGGGGAGGGCACAGGAGCCTTTCTCAGCTGGAAGGAGCTGGCTGTGCTCATTACCTGCACTGACACAGACAGCCACTCCTCCCACAGACAGGGTGGCTCAAACCATAAGCAACAGCTCATCAAAGAACACCACTGTGATCAGGGCCTCGGAGGGATCTGAGCAGGGGCTGTGGCGCCCAAGGACTTGCTGGTTCAGATGGAGCCCTGAGCCTCCCAGTGGGAGCAGCAGATATATCACTGTACCTACTAGGTGCCAGGTAGGAGCAAGTGTCACAAACAAAAGACCAGCACATATCAGTCACCAATTCTGAAAACAGGACACAACAGCAAACAAGCAGCAGCACTGCTTTCATAAATGAAGAGATGTCCCAGTGTGTCAGGACTTGACCTCCTGACGTTGTGTTAGAGGAAGACGAGTCAACCCGAGTCATAAAGAAAGTTCTACTTTAAAAGAGCCCCAACTTCTTTCTCTTATTTTTGTATTGGGGACTGAGCCAAGAGTGTCTACTGCTTAGCTACATCCCCAGCCACCACCACCCTTTTCTAATACTGGGGTTTGAACCCAGGGGCACTTAACCACTGAGCTATATTTCCAGACCCTTTTTTATATTTTAAAGACAGGGTCTCGCTAAGTTGCTTTGGACCTAAGTTGCTGAGGCTGGCTTTGAAATTGTGATCCTCCTGCCTCAGCCTCCTGAGCTGCTGAAATTAAGGTATGTATCACGTGGTTCATTTCTAGCCCTTTTAATTTTGAGACAGGGTTTCATAGAGTTGCTGAGGCTGGTACTGAACATGTATTCTTCCTACCTTACCCTCCTGAGTTGCCAGAATTATAGGTGTGCACCATGGTGCCTGGCTAGAAGCTCCAAATTTTTAATGTGGTGGGTTTAAAAGACAGACTATCAATGCAGAACCCACCTGGTGCCCAGCTATGCTGCATGGTGCTCTCTACACAAGCCTGCCTGGGCTCATCACACAGCACTACCGTGCCAAGATGAGAGTAACGGCTTGTGGACTTTCTGATCAAGGAAGACCTATTAGCTGAGTAGGGAAAGTAAAGACAAGCTAAAATACTGTCTAAAGGGCAGTGGTCTCTACCTGGCCACAGCTGTGCTTGGAGCCCTCAGGGCACACAAAGCAGTGTTTTATTCAACCATTTGTTTTGAAATGTCAATGAAGACCTCAGATGAATAAGAATAATTCACTTTTGTTTTGGGAGCATCATTATCACAGTGACACACAACTAACTGCTCAAACACTGTCCGGAAGACCAAGCCCCTCAGGGGACAGCCTGGGGTCTGATGTGGAGGCAGGGCTTCAGGGCCCTTACCCTACTCCAGCACTTCCCCCAAGAGAGGGCCTGGGCCACTCACCAGATTTAGATCTCCCATGGGCAGCACTTGAGGCAATAGTGAGAGATTGGGGCTTTATAGGGTCCCCCTGGACAGGATAGCTTCCAGCACTTGGAACTTGGATGTAAGGCCCCACAGCGGCAACCCTGCCAGACGTGCTCAGGGGTGACTGTGGTGATGATGTGCCATTCACACGGTTCAACTGTAAATCAGGAGGAAATGGAAGAGTTAAGATACTGCAAAATAAAAAAAAACACTAATTCTTCAGTTCACTGGACCCCAAGTGTGGGAGTCATTCTTTCCAGTAATAGCCACCCTGGAGAGCTACAAAAGCAGGGACCAATGTGATGACAGCATAGCTTCCAAGGACCATAATGACCTCCCTCTTCCTGGGGACACGTTCTCTCCCCTGGGTGGGCAGAGGCACTTGTCAAAGCCTGTGCTCCAAGCATTGTTTCAAATCCTGCTCCCCACTTACTGTGCTGCCCTGGGCTAGTGACTGAACCTCTGCCTATAAATTCAGAATGAGAGGTGCCCTAGGACAAGAGGCAAGGTGCCCAGGTGAGGCTCTGACTCCTGATGGTGAGTCTGGTTCTCTGAGGGCAGCTGTGCCTTTCTAAGCAAGGACACAGACAGGATACTGGCTACAAAATACTGTACAAGAACAAAAAGGCCCGATTCCTTAGGGTCCCTAGGTACACCTTCTGTGGAGGTCCACAACCTCCTACAACCGTCTGCATGTATCACTATGGTGAGAGGATTCAAGACTCTCATAACTGCTCAGAATACTTAGGACCTTCAGGGGGAGGCACATCTCTGCAGAAGCACTGACTGGATTCTCAGAGATCCGCTGGAGCAGCAGATAAAAGGAATAAGGACATTTTTGTTGTTGTTTTGTTTTTAAAATATTTATTTTTTAGTTGTAGATGGACACAATGTCTTTTATTTATTTACTTATTCTTACATGGTGCTGAGGACCAAACTCAGGACCTTGCCCATGCTAGGTGAGCACTCTACCCTGAACCACAACCCCAGCCCAGATAAGGACATTTTGATGGTTAATTTTATGCTTTAACTTGGTTGGCCCCGGTGCCCAGAGACTTGGCTAAATAGGATTCTGGATGTTATCAGAGTTTCGGTTTTTAGAGGAGATTAACATTCATATCAATGCACTCTGAGTAATGTAGATGATTCTCCATGGGAAGGTGTACCACATCCAGTCAGTGGAAGGCCTTAAAAGAAGATTGAGGATCCCCCAGAAGAAGGGGGTGCTACAATAGACTGCCTTGAACGTGAGCTGCAACACCAACTCCCCCTGGGCCTGCAGGCTGCAGGCCTGCCATGCAGATTTTGGAATTGCTAGACTCCATGTTCACGTGACCAACTCCTGGAGATAAATCCCTCTCTCTACACACACGCACACAGTCACACACACATGCACGCACACTATGGATTCTACTTCTCTGAGAAACCCTGAACATCACACCATTACTAAAGTTCTGCCATGTAACTCAGTGTGGAGCAGATGCATGAATCCTCTCACCTATGGCTGCGCTATTGGTAAGAGAGAAAAAGGAAAACTATCATCTGAAATCATAGTTACACAAACCACTGACTTTCAAGCTTGGGTTGAAAGAAGGGTAGATGCGTAAGTAAAAGATGGATTTTGCTGTGGAATGGCAGCTCCCCTCTTCCTCTACCATCTTCCACACCCATCCCCCCGGGGAAGGCCCTGACATCCACGCCTGCCTCCCCACAGCATCCTTCAGTATAGCAGAGGCTGACAAGAAGACACTGCCACCACACCACAAAAGCATCAATCACTTAGTATGTGTATGGGAACTCTAGGAAGACATCCTTGCTATCAGCACCTGCTCTGCTCTCATGGGCTTATAGCCAGTTTTGTCTGATCAACTGTGGCAAGTAAGGGGAGGGAGCATGGTTCATTTAGTGAGATTAGCATTTGTAGATGAGCTACTTTTTGAGGTTTATCTCACAGACATTTTCTCTTTCACATGCCTGGATTTTTTTGCCATAAAGACGTTCACGCAATTCATTGATTCGCTTGTCCATCATTGCCACCTCCATGTTGCGCTTATTTAAGAGTTCCTTCTGCTGCTGGAGTTTTGAATTCTGTTCCTGATTAAGCTGGTTACGAATCTGCAAAACAGAAAGAACAACTTTTAAGACCTGTATTAATGAAGAGGTCAAATTCTCACTGCAGGGAGAAAAAGAAAAGAAAGAAAAAAGAAAAAGTAGAATTAAATTTGGATGTGTTTAGACAAATGTACTGCCATCTATGTGCTACATGTTCTGTAAATCAGCACAGGCAACGCCAGAACAGAGTTCTTATGGAACAAAAAGAGACCAAATGCATGGAACTACAAGTTCTCTTCAAAGTAGACACAGGGACTAGGGCCAAAAGGAACTCTAGGAGACCATCCTGGAGCCTTGGGGACAACCACCTAGGGCTCCATTTAGGAGTAAATCACATACATCATACATCATCATACCTCACCAAAACCCTAAAAAGTCTGCATGCTTAGCAATTGCTTCAAACATAAAAGAATGTTAAAGAACTTAACAGCAATCACGAGTCATTTTATTTCTCAACACCTTCATTTCATAAAATGATACAGTACTTTTCTTAGCAAGTGCTAATAAAATCACAAAACTTGTTTCCGGCTTGAAAATTCACCTGAATGATAACTTATGAGAAATAGAAATCTAGAGGTTATGGACTGAATGTTGGTGCCCTCCTAACCTCATACATTGAAGCCCTCAATGTGATGCTGTTTGGAGGTGGGGCCTGTGGGTGGTGATGAGGTTTGGAGGAGGTCAGAGGGCAAGCCCGAACAATGTGTTGATTATGTGTCCTTCTAAGAAGAGAGCCAGGCACAGTGATGTACATCTGTCATCAGTTGTAAATCACTGGGGAGGCTGAGGCAGGATTCCAAGTTCTAGGCAAGCCCAAGCAACTTAGAACCTCAGCAACTCAGTGGGAACCTGTCTCAAAGTAAAAAAAAAAAAGTGCTGGGTTCACTTGCAAAAAAAAGTGCAGCAGCCAGTGATATATTTCTACGGAGATATATATCACACAAAGTATGTATGTCACACAGAGAATGAGCAGAATTCAGGGATTCAATGAGATGCAGAGCCTGTGGACAAGGACAGAACCAAAAGCCTGGTAGGTTTTGATGTGATGGAATGTGGGAATCAGAGGAGTGGTACTTGGATTCATTTGTGGTTGAATTTAACCCGTGAATGTTCCTTACTGCTGTGTGATTTTTGGTTTAATACTCGTGTCTTATGACTACAACCATACACTCATGATTCCATTTTACCTCATTTTACAAACCAGATTATATTTAGGTATCTATTATTACTTTGTACAAAAAGATTTTGTTTAAGTATATGACTTTTAATTTAATTTTATTGTATTATATAATCTGACACAAAATGAAGGTTAAAATTTCTTCCCTAAACCCTACTTTTAATCAAAGTCTTGTTAAAAATGCAAGTTTCTAGAGTCCTCTACATGTCTTATTAAAGAAGTTCTTTGGAAACCAAATATATATATTTATACCACACCTTTTTTACTTTTTTTTGGGGGGGGGGCAGTTTCTGGGAGTTGAACCCAGGTGTGCTCTACTGCTGCACTACATCCTCAGCCCTTTTTATTTTTATTTTGATTCAGGACCTCACTAAGTTGCCTAGGGCCTTGCTGAAGTTATATCCATCCTCTACTCCGGAGAAAGCCAGAAAGAGGAGAAAGTTTTATATAAATATTCCCCAGACCCAGGTGTATCACCTGTAGTTCTTGGTAAAGTCTCTTCAATTCCACCGCTGCTGGTCCTGTCAGCTTGCCGTTATGAGACTGGAACCCATTCAGTTTTCCTTTCTTTAAATCTTCCAATTGCTGACTAAGCTGATCAACTCTTAAAATTGCAGTCTGTACTTCCTGCTTCTTTTCCTGGAACATGGCGCTGAACCTTTCTATTTCAGCAGCTATAATTGCCCACCAAAAAAGAAAAAAACTCATTTAACTGACATCCTGTCTTTTTAATATCTATATGCTGCACTCAACTCTGGTATTATTTAGTGCCAGACCATGGATTAAGTGTTGCGTCATCTAAAACACACATCAGCAAGTCTTTGGAACACGTGACATGACATGACTTACAGAGCAAACCGTTTTCTCTGTAACTACTGAATGTTCCTGAAGGCAACTGATTCAGAAGCTAGCTTGGCCACACTACTCAGGAGTCTCAGGTACCAACAGAACAAAGGCCTGGTGAAGGTCTTGCTAATCACTGTAACCTAATGTATGCAATCACTGAAAAAACCACAGAGCCCACACAGAAACAAAAAACAGCAACCACATGGTGAAGCTTATAATTTCAGCCATTTCATGACAACAGATGCTCATAATGAGTGAGTCCTGGAGCAGCCCTGGCTAACCAAAGGACTCCAGTCACCAGTGTACAAGAGGTGACTGCATCATCAGGGTTGGACTAAAATAGACCGTTCCCATGAATATGCACAATTGCTACTGTTAATAAAAATTTTAAAAGAAGAAATTACCTTGATTTGATCAATACACAATGTATACCTGTATCAAATTATCTCACTGTATCCCCAAAATATGTATAATTAAAATTATATTTAAAAAACCAAATCCAGAAAATTGATGTTAACACTACATTATGAATTCAAATACAACCTAATTTGGATTTCACTAGTTTTATATGAACTTCTTTGTGGGCTGGGGGAATGCATAGTTTAAAAAAAAAAAAAAATCACTTAACCTAACCAACCCAGTTTTCTTAGGTGTAGAAAACAGTAAAGCTTTAGTGCACTTGGTATAGCAAAATTCCACATGAATTCATGCCTGAACCATCAGCAACCAGCCTCTGACTTATCTAGGCCTGGAGCGTATGGACACAGTGGGCCGCGGGAACCTACACAGATTGCCGTTCATGATTTTGCTATAATCAACTTGTCCTCTCATGGCACGAATTTTCTTCAGCTTGTTTTCCTGGGCTTCAACTCGTTCTTTCAGTTTCTGAAGCTTTTCGTTTTCAGAAATAGACTGCTGCTGGCGGCGTTCCTGTTGCTTTAGAAAATGTAAACGTTGTTCCTGACAAAGAAGGGAAAAAATCTTAACTTTGCAAATTAAAACTTACAATTACATGTATATACTTTTTAACTGAGTGTATTCCATACCTACTTTAACAAATATTTAAGAAACACTAAAAGAATTTTTTAAAAATTCTTTTAAAAAAATCTTTAAAAAAATTCTTTAAGATGCACTTAACCACTGAGCCACATCCCCAGGCCCCCTTTTGTATTTTGTTAGAATGGGTCTTCGCAGAGTAGATAAATTGCTGAAGCTGGCTTTGAACTCACGATCTTCCTGCCTCAGCCTTCTGAGCCATTGGGATTACAAATGGGTGCCACCAAACCCAGCACTAGAGGAATCTTGTGCAGAGCAGTTCACAAAAGCCTGAAATTATTGGGTATTAATGTGAGATGAGTCTGGGAATTTTCAAGAGGATCTGACTAAGTGCACTGCTCTGCATCACTTGGTCGATAGCAGCGCCACTATGGAAGGTGCAGATAGGCTCACTGCAGAGAACATGTGCCCAATGCCAAATCTCCTCTGCATCCCACCACAGCTGTCAAGTCTCTGTCAAACTTGTTTCCACCAGAGTATAGGCTTTCTGCTGCTACAACACTTCAACCACTCCTTAACTTCCCAAAGGAAATGAGCGTAGGCAGCAGAGATTTTACATGAAAACAGAAAAGGCCATCAGTCAGGAGATGAGCCTCCAATTTCCAGGGACACTGAACAATCAAGGAAGTGTTTGCTTTTTTAAGTATTAATGATAAAACATTTTTAAAAAGGATACTTCTAAAATAAAAAAAATATATGTAATGCTTTTCAGTAGTTTTTCCCTTATTAATGTGAAAACATACCTTAAGGATAACAGTCAAAATTAAATATTCATGCCCACATGTATGCATGAAATATACGCAAACAAAGAGAGGCTTAGGTAAGATTTTGCAAGCATTACATACCACTTTCTGAAGGAAAGGAAAGACGTTAGGGTTAGAGTATTTAAGATCTGGAATTCACTGTGGTCTGCATCACTGAATAAATATATCTATACATTTTTTGTGTGTGTGTGTGGTACTCGGGATTTAACCCAGGGTCTCGCATGTGCTAGCCAAGCTATCTATCACTGAGCTACACCCCAGCCCTTATTTTATGTATTATTATTACTTTTTGTGGTGCTGGGGTTGAACCCAAGGTATCACACATGCAAGGCAAGTACTCTGCCACTGAGGTATATATCCTGCCCTTTTTATTTATTATTATTTTTTTTTAACTTTGAGACAAGGTCTTGTTAAGTTGCCCAGGCTGGCCTGGAACTTGTGATCCTCTTACTTCACCTCCTGAGTAGCTGGGATTTTAGGCACGTGATAATACATCTGGCTATAAAGTTGATTTTGTTTTACCCAGTACTGGAAATTGGGGCACTTTATCACTAAGCTATACTCAACCCCAATCCTTTCCATTATTTTTTAAATTTTGAGACAGAGTCCTGCTAAGTGACCCAGGCTGTCCTCAAACTTCCCGCTTCAGCCTCTCTAGTAGCCAGAATTCCAGGTATGTGTCACCTCACCTAGCCTATTTATTGTTCTTTTTGCTGTTTTTTAATAGCAATATTCTTGGATCAATATATTGAAAGGAAATATGAAGAATTAGAAAATTTATAATTACATAATACTATGTATATTTCATCTTAGAAATTATCAAGAGGGTGAAATAATTTCTAATTTTAATTGTTTTTATTCTTATAAATCCAATAAAATTTATGAGACAATGTTTTAAACAAATCCAACAAATTGTTATTTACATAAAAGTAGATAGATACAATGAACTGTATATCCAATGCATCAAAAAAATGAATTGGTCATTTCCTGGGGGCCATCTGTGAATTTTATGTGAACTAAAGTGCTGTTGAAGCCATTAGGCAGGAAAGCCTGGTGGTATCAGGAACTCCCAGCAGCAACCCCAGTGGTTTAAGAATGCCTGGTTCATGTGGCTTCCTACCCAGCTCCATCTCAAGTTCAGCACAGCACCAGAGAGGAGGAGACCCACTGGAGCCACACTGCCTGTTGGAGATGGGTCTGGCTTGCTAAAATGCCAATCAACCTGTTTACTGCAAGACCCCTGCCACACCAAGAAGCAAGCACCAACCAAGACTCCTCCGGCTGAACCCTTGTTCCTGCCTTTGATGTACTCCCCCTTAAATAAAGAATCTGAGCCCTTTTTCAGTTGTTCAGTTCCAGCTCCAACCAGGACTGGAAGACCTATCAGATGCTCCCCTTTTTATAACCAATTTCTGGCTCTGTCTCTATTTCTTACTAATTATTTCAGACTTTTTGTTTCCTGGGCAGCTCACACCTCCTGAGCAGGAACCTATCCTGGTAGGGTGCTGGTCACCCTGCAATAAGTAAATCTCTCTACAGAAGAAGTCAATAAGAACTTAGCTGGTAAGGTTTAAAGGTTCTCCTTAGAGCAGTTTCAGAGCATTTTAAGGCCATTTACAACATGAGTCAGTTCCAGGAGGCATGGGCAACAGGTCTGATTTTTTTAGTCTATCAAGTATGACTAAAATATGATTTAGAAAAATTCCAAATCCAGCTTTACAGAATCCCAATCACAATTGCAGAACCCAGTGAGTGACTAAGTCCGCATGCCATCAACCAGATAGGTCCAGCACAGAGCAGCAAACCAGGCAGCCTTTCACCAGCTGTCTACCTCCAGGGCCCAGCCAGACCTTCCAGCACAGACTGTGGGGCTCCTCTACAATACCAACACCAACCCCTGGCAGAAAATATGCCAGAGGAAAGCAGAGGTAACAGCAGAAAGCATCCTTTCCAAATTCTGTCCTTCATTTGAAAAGGGCCAACTATCTCCTGTTTAGAGTGCCTGCATGGAAAGGGTCAGGGACTCTTGCTGGGATACCTCCCCACCATCACGATGCTAAGGAGCATCCATTAACACAGAAGGGATCACACAGAGAAAAAGACACTGTATTAACACTTGCCTGGGGGGGCCCCATCTGGCAAGTGTGACCCGTGCCAAGTAGATGAATTCTAATCTGAAAGACTGTTGAGGCACACACATTTTGAATAATGCTTCCTTAACTCTGTATTTGTAACTTACCTTGGCAACCAACATTTGCTGCTGATTTTCAATTTGCTGCTGTTGCCTAGCTGCCATATCTTGGAGCTCTGAGAGGGTAAGTTCAACACGTGGATTCCCAACCTGCCAAGAATGAAAGGTATTCATTGATATCTATGTTCACCTGCAAAATCATTTTTCTGTAGTGCCAGAATTCACACAAATCCAGATTTTAGATAGAAGTTAAGAGGATGCAAATTATTTTCTCCTAAGACTTTTTCCTAATTGTTGACTATTTTTATTAACTATGAATAAGAGGTTTGAATTTTTTTTCCCGAAATAACAGCTTTCCTAATGCATAAAAACCAGACACTATAATAATACGGGGATAAACATTAGGAAAATGTGTTTTGGGTCTGGGGATATAGCTCAGTTGGTAGAGTGCTTGCCTCACATGCACAAGGCCCTGGATTCAATCCCCAGCACCCCCCCCACACACACACATCTGTAAAAAAAAAATGTTTTATAAGTAAATTATTTAGTATGGACTAGGGGTTTAATAAATGTATTTGAACAGATGGGGCTGTCAAAATATTTAAGGATATATAACTGCAATTGTATGGATGATACCCAAGGGCATCAACTTACTGTCATCTGCTTTTTTTTTTCAATTTTTTTTTTTTTAGTTGTAGTTGGACACAATACCTTTATTTTTATATGGTGCTAACCATATATATATTTATTTTTATATGGTGCTAACCCAGTGTCTTGCACGTGTTAGGCGAGCGCTCTACCACTGAGCCACAGCCTCAGCCCCTGTCATCTGCTTTTGAGAAAATGAAATACATAACAGTTTCTAAAATACAAGTGCTTCAATAAGGATTAGAATGGCCTACAGGAAAAAGTGACACATGATCTGACAGAATCAAGTATGTGAGATGAATACAAAAAGGTGATACCTTGGAGTGGCAGCTGGCCACACACCTTCTTCTGTAGCAATGCCCTATAAGCCACTGGACTCCAGAGGTAGGTGCTATAAAATCCCCGTTTCACAGAAAAGGAAAGAAGCAGAGGCAGGCGCTCTTCATCCAGCACTCTCCCTACATCCCACTGTGTGCACTGCACTGTGCCCAGTGTTTCGGGCACCATGCCACACATTCTCCAAGACAAGCCTCTCTGCAAGGCATGAGACCACTCAGTGAAGGGCACGCCAGAGGAGGCAACTTACAAAACAGCAGAGCCTTGCTCTGATCAAACTGCCTTCCTGCGCCCCTTCAGTTCCAACCATGGCAGCCACATCAACTCTCAAGACCCTTCGCCTTCTACCACCCTTAAATCTCTCATGATTCTTGAGTCAGTTCCAATCCCTGTCCCTTTGGCTCCATGTCTTCCCAAATTTTTATGGTATTAGAGCACATTCTTTACTCCAGAAGAATGGAATAGGTATTAGTCCAGTGGTCTTACATGAAGCTCCCATTCTATGTATCTAAATTAGCTCCTAAGGAGTAATGTGAAGCTCACCTTTCTTAAACTAAGTTTTTGTTTTTGTTTTTTGTGGTGCTGGGGATTGAACTCATGGCCTTGTGCATGCAAGGCAAGCACTCTACCAACTGAGCTATATCCCTAGCCCCAAAATTAGGTTGTTTTTTTTGTTTTGTTTTTTAACTTTCATTATTTTGAGACAGGGTCCCGCTAAGTGACCCAGGCTGGCCTCAAACTTGTAATCTTCCTGCTTCCATCAATGCTTAGAATATCAATCAAAAGGATAGAAGTGAAACTTTTAACTGTTTGTATTCTGGCACTTAACATAAAAAAATGTAGGGCTTATAAAATATTTTATATTTGTTTAAACTGAAACATTTTATTCACCATCATAAACATTTATACTCTTTGCAGAGGTTGCATGTGTTTTTCTAATGACAAAATTAAATTATACCATGTTGTCAGAAAGCATTCCGGTGTTGTGTATATACACTAATATACAGTAATAATATTTTAGTGAAGTAGATCTTATGTGCAGAAAAGTGCGGTAAACCATAATATACAACTGAATCAATTATTTCAAAGTGAATAATTCACTTTGTGTTATTTGATTGTACTTAAATGGGTTATAAAAACATACAGCCAACCAACATGAAGCAATTTATATTTTAGTATATATTCCCTTAACTATTCACCATGAACATTTAGCAACACAAAGCACTTTTTCAGTTTTTTAAAAATATTTTTTAGTGTTGATGGACCTTTATTTTATTCATTTATTTATATGTGGTACTGAGAATTGAACCCAGTGCCTCACACATGTGAGGCAAGCACTCTACCACTGAGCCACAACCCTAGCCCCACTTTTTCAGTTTTTTAAGAAAACAAAAATGCTTCAGTGAAAATTTGATCCTTTTATAACAGGGATATATCACTGTACTACATTAAACAATCCCAGCTTACAATTTTAAAATTCCCCTTTGATCTCAACTTATTCAAACAAACTTATGCCCTAACTTGTTCTTATTTGTCTTCACTGCAGGATGAGATTAGATCTTGCACCAGGCCCTTCAGGGACCCTGGTGATGGCAGAATCACTTAATGAATATGGCCCCAGTGCAGACCAGGACAGCCACCTCCATCACTGAGTGAAATGGCTAGAAAGTCCTCTCAGCCAGCCAGGCAAGCATGGCAACATGGCCAGAACCCAAAGGAAAGGGCTGGCAGCCTTCTGTCTGCTCCTGGGATCCTCCTTGAGAACAGCTGCCTGCACCCAGGGCTCAGGGACCTTGCTAATGTCCCTCTTCACTATCTGAGCTCTGGATTCTGGGAAAGCAGTTATGTTCCTAATGAACCTGGTTCATTCTCCGGCTAATGCGGGCATCCTCACTCCCCATGGTCAATGCAGCTCAGTCCACTCAGGTATGACTACACACACACACACCGTAGCACTGGCAGAATGGCCAAAGACAGTTTTTCTGATTGCTCATCTGATCACCCCTTTCTCCTAACTCTCATAAATCTATTGTGGAAATGGGAACTCAAGAGACTAACTTCTGCTGTGCAACATTTTTACATACACAGTATTAGCTGATAGAAGGCTTGTACCAAGAGCCTATTAGCTAACATGAAGCTTCATGAAGCTATAAGCTATAGGAGCAATAAGTCCTGTCCTGGCCCTGGCCACAGCCACCAGGGACCAGAATTTTCTAAGTGACTCAATCCTTTTTTCTGCCTCCACCAGATCCCTGTCATAGTCTGCCATGGTGTTTCAAACTCAAACACCCAGACTTCTTTCATTCCATCCTCCTTGAAGAGTCTACATCCTCCTTATCATTATGGTTTCCCTACAGATCTCTCCCAATCCCTCATTAACCCAAATGGCTTCGGGCCCTTATCACCTCCTTCTGACCATGTCCCCCAATCCCTGTCTGTCCATAATGGCCATATGCTGTGGTGCCATGGCAGTTCATAAACAAAAAAGCTAAACGATGTGCTTGAGACTTGGTACCCAAAGAAGCACTGATTGCAGTCCCCCACTCCACACACAAGGCTGAGAAGGCAATGCTTGTTTCCTGGTCCTAAACTATCCACGCACAGCACAATACTGTAATAATCCATTCACTTCCCATGTGCCAGACACACAATCTTAGACCCTGAGGACCACACAAAGGTAAAATTGCTCTCCTGTTATTTTCCATGACACTCTCTTCTGATGAAAGAAAAGAGAATCTCATGTGGGAAGCAACTAGATTACTCCATCAAATTCAACTATGACCATGAGAAACTGAGCTCAGGTTTTCTTTTGTATTTCTACTGCAAAATAAAAGTAGCATTTCCCAGGTAACAGTGAGAACCTAGATCATCACCATGCACTCTGGGAGAAGTGCACTGCTCAAGCTGGCAGCCATTCCAAAAAGCTCATGAGAAGCACATAAAAGCAGACATTCCACCGAGCGCGGTGGCACACACCTGGAATCCCAATAGCTCGGGAGGCTGAGGCAGGAGGATAGTGAGTTCAAAGCCAGCCTCAGCAAAAGTGTTCATTTATTTAGATGGAGGTTATCAGTGATTTATTCCTTTGTATTGTTGACTAGTTTCCCATCACATGGACACATCCTGCTTTGTTCACCCATTCTTCTATAGATGGATAGCAGAGGACTATTTTCATTTTGTGGCTATGATAAATAAAAGGTGCGACGAGCAATGATGCACTGATATTTACATGGACAAAGGCTTCTACTTCTCTTGGGTGACCAATATCAAGAGGTGGACCAGGTATGTGGTATGGCAGGTATATGTCTAATTGCAGTAACTATTAGACTGTTTTTGACAAAGAAGGGATTACAAATAAATGGTATTTAAGGATCAGACTTTCAACAAAGAAGCTAGCCTGTGATTTGCCAAAAGTTAGATAAGAAAAGGAGGCTTATTTTCCATGTTAATTTCTCATCTTTATTAATGTGTGTGTAAATCATAACTTGAGAAGCTACCAAAATAAATAATGTTTGAAAACTAGGCTACCAGAATGAGATTTTTATAGATACTAAAAACAGCTACAACTCACTTAATAACTATAGTTGTGGCTTTTGATCACAGGTCAGTTGGTGACATGGCTTTAATCAAGCACATTTTTTGTCTCTCCAGGCAATGTTTTAAATGTTACTTTAAACTGGTGGTACAACAACCCAGGTATTAAAGATACATTGTCATGATCAACAATTATGCAATATAAAATACACATCTTCTACCATAATAACATGTTTTTTGTAGATTTTTTAGTCTCTCCAAACATTATAAAGAAGACACTTTACATTCTGTTTAATAGGAAAACAATCTGCCAATATGTACTAAAAGTAATAGCTTTATCAAAGACTGTAATTTCATCCAGAAAACAGAAGGGTCATCACATTATGGACTTTAACTCTTAACACTGCAGATTTTTTTTTTTAAACTACACCATTCTTCATATATTTTTTTTTGGGGGGGGTGGGCATAAGGACTCTTTCATCCAAAAATGCACTAACTAAATACTGTATAAGAAGTGATACTTGGGCTGGGGATGTGGCTCAAGCGGTAGCGTGCTCGCCTGGCATGTGCGCGGCCCAGGTTCGATCCTCAGCACCACATACAAACAAAGATGTTGTGTCCGCCGAAAACTA